ATTTAAAAAAAAATAACAAAAAAGTAATAGAATCTGAACTTTACTCAGAAAATCGCTATCCCAAAACATAACATTTGTTACATTTTCTCAGAAACTACTACATGAAGTTTCATGAACAAAACTTTGCAAGCTTATCCAAGAGATACTTATAAAGATTTGGTGTCACAAATTATTGAGTTCATTCATCAAACACTTGCTTGACAACTGGCAGATAAGGAATTTTCACACAGTATTACATGTAACCCTTAATACTTGTATCGCTTTGTATCGATACATGATCTCAAGATACGTGCATAGCATCACACACTCAGATACATGCACAAATGTCATGTAGCCAAAAAACAGTTTCAAGATGGCTGCCACAACAGACATATTGAAAATAAGATCAGAATTCACACTGTACAATTACTGCATATTGGCACTGTTGAACATGCTTGACTGGAACTATCTGAATCTTTGGCTCAGGGGAGCTTATAATACAACAAATTGTTTTCTTGGAATGAAATAAGTAGTCTCGTTGTGTCTTGGGAGTGAAAACGTTTGTTTAAAAGTCTGGAATGAACAGTGCAAAAGTTGCATGGTTGATAAATGACAACCCATGTATGACATGACCTTCAAAGTGACCTTGACACTTAACCCTATCATGACGTATGACAGGTATTAAGTGAGTTACTTAGAGTTGGTCATAATTGATGCTTTGATTTTTATGAATTGACATAATGTTTAAGACATGTTTTGCAATCCAACATCTAGTGACCTTTATCTAGCATGAAGGTCACCAAAACGTTTATTGATCAAAACCCTGCACAAGTAAACATGTACCAGTTTCATATATTCCAATCATAAATACTCAATTTATCATGTACACAAACTTAGAAAGCGCCTACTTCATGCAGAGTGACTTTGACCTTCAAAGGCATCTGATCATATGCAAACACAATTCCCCACATAGTCTAAAAAATTAATAGGTCTTGGTTCTCAGGCACTGACCACATCATCACAAAGTCTGCCGCACGTTTCGTCTTTATTTCCATTTTAAATTTAAAAAAACCATCCTAATACTTAAAAACAATGCGATCCAATATGGCAAGCAGTTACTTCCCTTTACATGTGCACTGCTTTACTCACATCTCGTGTTATGGTCATGGCAGCAATAGAAGTTTGTATGCTTGTTGATGTAGGGAGGCCCTTCCCCAGGTTGATGGTACACAACTGTTTATTTGGTGACATACTAGTTTCAACAAGCCAAAAAAATTAAAATACCTGCCTGCCCGCACTATATTTCAAAAGTCGAACCAATTTTTTTATTTTTTTAAGCTAAGTTTTAACAAACAACTAAGCCCACGTTACGATGTCTGTAATTAATTGTAAAAGACTTGAGAATATATTTCACCTGCAAACTATAGGTATATAGTATTTAAACTTAGAACTGAAATGTAATGTTATCCAATACCACGATGCAAGAGCCATGTAATATAACTGTATAACATGTATGAAATATGGGTCATATGGCCTGGATAACAACATACTGAAACGAAATGAAAATACAACCATGTATATATACTCATCGCCAAAAGAAACACGAACCATAGAAACATATAGAGAAGTATGTAGTTAAGAGTGAGTGAGTATAGTTTTACGCCGCTTTTAGCAATATTCCAGCAATATCACGGCAGGGGACACCAGAAATGGGCTTCACACATTGTACCCATGTCAGGAATCGAACCGGGGTCTTCTGCGGGACGAGCGAATGCTTTAACCACTAGGCTACCCGACCGCCCCTGTAGTTAAGAGTGAGTGTACCCATGTCGGGAATCGAACCCGGGTCTTCGGCGTGACGAGCGAACGCTTTAACCACTAGGCTACCCAACCGCCCCTGTAGTTAAGAAGAGATGTCTCCAACACATACCACTTAATGACAAAACTAACAGTCAAGTGTTACCACAGTGTCTTTAGTCTAATCACGAAATGCTGCACGCTAATTGTGCATCTCGAGTCATGGATCTATGACGTCAAATATGATGCATTCATAAGCGTCGGTTCACACAACTTAACAGTATGGTCGTTTGTGCATCGAACCAATCTAATATCTCTTGAATATGAGTAATTCTTCATATATTAACCAACATGTATGGTAGTCGTGTTTCTTTTGTGGGTGAGTATATATCATGTTTATCAGGTTCGAAGACCAACATCTGTCATGAGGGCCTGGGTGAGAAAACCAATTACTGCGACAGCATCATGGTGCCAAATTTGGGCAAATAAAAAATAAATACACACCATATTCGACGTAATAAGCGCCCAGGGCGCTCTCAAAATTAGAAATAGGAGGCTTTATAGGGGAAATATTATTATGGTAAAAAAAAAACAGAGTTGAAAAATAAATTTTGTGGTTTGTGCTGACAGCCTGAAATGTTTATGTACAACAGATATATTTTTCCCGAATTTAATTGCCCATAATAAAGGGTGCATATAACACACGAGTGCGTATTATACGCGAATAAGTATTGTGTACATTGATCAATAGGAAGGGGTGCTAATTGTGATTGTTCACTAGCCAATATATTAGCAAATATCACCGTGGGCGCTTATTAGAGCAGGGCGCTTATTACGTCGAATACGGTATTAAAGACTGCAGTTAGTGTAGAGGAATAATTGCTGACACTTGAAATGGTAATATGACAAAGAACCAGTTTCATTTTATGAGTGAGTGAGTGAGTCTGGTTTAACGCCGCTTTTAACAGTATTCCAGTTATATCGCGGCGTGTCAGCTTAATGTGGGAGGAAAGCCCGAAGTGATGCAGGTCTCAGACGTTTACCACTTCGGTGAAACCCACGAGCACGGGTATGGTGCTGACAAACCTTGAAACATAATCGGGGCGAACCGGGATTCGATCCCACAATCATAGGTTTCTGGCGTGCCCAAGGGACGCAACTCTGCACAGACGACTGGGCCAACCGTGCCCCCCTTCATTTTATGATGGAAAAATTCATGGTGATCATGTCTAAAAATTCACTAAAATTCAGATCCTGAGCATCCCTCATCCTCCTTCGTCCTTTGATGGTGTTGATTTTATCATTCAAGACTAATGAATACCCTCCCTTACCTAAATATATCTGCCCATAAAAAGGACAATAATGAAAGTGATTAATTTTACTCACAAAATGTCCATATCAGACCATATCAGACCAGATCACATAATATGAAATTGTACTTAAATATTGCTATCGAAAATAGTAACACCTTCTGAGTTGCGGTTTCCTGTAAAACGTTTGATATACGCAAGTAAATAAGGACTATCATGAAAATTTTCATCTTATACAGGGGGGCTTATAAACATAACATATAGGTATAGAAGTCAGTGAGATGGCACGTTTTGGAGCAGGGCGCTTAATACGGCAAATACGGTAATAGGACAAATGTGCTGTCTGAAAGGTGCTATTTTTGTTATTGCACATGATGCAAACATATGTGTTCACCACAAAATAAACTAACGAGCCTGAGTCACACTGCTTATTTGGCAAGACATTCACATAACCTTTCATATAAGTCTTGAAGAACAAAACAAAATCTAATATTTCTTGTTAAGTTCATATTTATCTAATGATCAGCCAGGATATTTCACAAGGTAACAAAAACAAAACCTATGGCCTTAAGTGGTTGTTTATCTGTTCGTTGGTTTGTTGTTTAACGCCGCACTCAGCAATATTCTAGCAATATGACAGCGGTCTGTAAATAATCGATTCTGGACCAGACAATCCAGTGATTGACATCATACATGACATACATCAACTAAGTCAGCAAGCCGGATCCTGTTAGTCGCCTTTTACGACAAGAATAGACTCTGTATGGCAAGTATGGGTTGCTGAAGAACTATTCTACCCCGGATCTTATCGGGCCGTCCATCAATACAGCTCTCTCTCACCTCACAGAAAAGAAGTCATGTAGCATGGCTCTTATCCCCCTGACTCAAGAAGATGACTTCAATAATCTTATGCTCGACTGTTTGTGATTCAAACTGTTCTTTTGTTCCTGATTCAAGAGGATGTCATTAGAATATTTTCCCAACAAGAAAACACCTTTGCCCCAAATACCAAGGAATGTACTACACCAAACACAAGGGTAAAAGCAATCACTTTCACCTCAGATTTAAACAAAATTACCCAAAATACTAAGGGATATATAGTACGGGGATAAAAGTAGAACACCTCCACCTTTAATACCAAGGATACACACGACAGAGGTTGAAACTAACAAGAATGTGGCACAATAAAAAAATGTAATACTTAAAACATGACATAAGTTGCATAAATAAAAAATTCAATCATACATGCTCGAGATAATGGTGGTCTTCCCTCAAACTGAAATGTTCTGTAGCTCACCAGACTTATGAAGAAAGAGTGAGTGAGTGAGTTGGGTTTAACGCCGCTTTTAACAGTATTCCAGTTATATCACAGCGTGTCAGTTTAATGTTGGGGGAAAGCCCGAAGTAATGAAAGTCTCAGCCGTTTACCACTTCGGTGAAACCCACGAGCACGGGTATGGTGCTGACAAACCTATAAACATAATTGGGCCGAACCGGGATTCGAACCCACAATCATAGGTTTCTGGCGTGCCCAAGGGACGCGACTCTGCACAGCGAATCGCGGCGTCTTAGACGACTGGGCCACCCGTGTCCCCTATGAAGAAAGAATTTTATGACACTTCAACATTATTTTGGTACAAAAATCTTTAGTGTGTGGAGGAAAAATTGGTGCAATAGATTCTAGAAAAATAGGAAGAAAGGATCTTTGCAACATCTTTCTAATAGTTACGCCTTACATCTTCTTGCAGTCATAAAATTACAAAGTTTAAGCCTTTTGTTTGTTGCCAAAAATGACATTTTCTATATGGCTACCATTAGTAATGGTATTTGCCTGAATTTCGTATTACAGTTGATTGCAACAATGTTTCATGTTTTGCGTAATGTACCACAAGATATTTCATTCATTCTTTCATCTGTAATTTGTCATGAACCAGAGTAAAAAGTACCTCCCCTCACATTTTGGATAACTTCTTATTTTGTTGGATGTTGCTATGGCGACAACGCATGTGCAATAGACACATAATATACAGGAAACAGGTTGCAAATAGTTTCGCCTTTTGGACCACAGGAAACAATGGCTAATTTCGTAATTTCAATTTGACTCATCACTGATGTAAAATTTTCCAACAGATAAAGATTTGCATGATTTTGAAAAATGCAATAGACCAGTATTTTCTAAACGTATTGTGATACATATTCATTAGTATTTCATACAAGGAATACCGGTAATACTGAACACCTCTAACCACCATGTTTGGAAACAGATCAGAATTCTGTGACACACCATCGTTTCAACTCCTTGGCCGTGGAGTTTGCAAGATGACGGACAACTGGACGGACGACGGACAAAGCACTACAGGAAAGCTAAAATTTGTTTCCAGCTCACTCACCCAGAATATGTAACCATTAGGTTTCATCACCTTGTCCTACCATAGTTTCTCTGTTATCCTACATAGAGGGGGAAACAGTGACGGAGTTGTCTTACTCATGGAGTTTCAGCTAATTGTGGGTAGAAAGCCCAAAGTAACGAAGGGTAGAGAGGGTCCCCACCTTGATGAAACAAAGCATGGGGATCACAGACCAGGGGCCACAGTAAAGGCAAATCATTGGATCCTGGCACGACAAAGGTAGGCAACTCTGCACAGACAATTCCTGCACCTTAATTACAAAACCTCAATGCTAGTGAACACAAACTTAGTAATGCAAATATCTATGCTCCCAAGTTTACTTATCCAGATATACATTACTAATTCAAACTTAATCAACTATTTCAAGTTTCATCCTGTTTAAGGCCAATTTTTACATTTTACAATTATTATGAATGTCAAAACATGGAGTCGAGCCCACCTTCAGAATGTAACTAGAGTTCCTTGAGAATAGCCTTCACATTTCCAATGACGTGATTAAGGTTGTTGTGAATGCAGTACTGCATGAGTGATTCGGCTGCCTTCAGAGCGTCCCCTCTTGACCTCAGGATCGGTCTGTCTGGTCTGGTGGCATCTTCTGAACCCTCCTCACTCTTGATGTTAGAAGCAACAGACTTTGAGTACTGATCATGCTGCGAGTCTCCGGGGCTTTCGGAAGATGACAGTGGGTAAGTTTCACCCCGTTTTGCCCGTCGAGACGATGCGTACAGACTACGAGCTAAAGGGGAGATAACTTCCAATGAGAAACTGACTGAAGGATCTGTCAATTCGTTTTCATTACCATCCGATTCCTCCTCCACCTCCGATGCATCACTTTCATTGTCACTGGATTCTTCTGTGCGGTTGACCTGAGAGGTGCTTCCAGTACTTTGTGAAGCATCTTCATTCTGGAAAGGAGCATCGCTGTTTCCATAATGAGAAGACTGATCACTGGCATCCTGGACGTGTGGGACAATCCCAAACCCATCCTCATTGCTGCCTCCTATGTAGTAGCTCAGAGGTTTCCTTGCAAAGCTCTCTATTGCTTTTTTAATTAGGTTGTCATAAACCTCACCGTCCTCCGTTGAAGGGATGTCTGGGCAGAAACCAACATCAAACCCGCAGTCAAAGAAGGCTCTGGTAACGACTCCTGCATCAATATCTTTCACAGCCTGGCTGAGCCACAAACACGCGTCCAAGACAGAAACATAACTGAGCACTTTGGAAATACCTTCGTTGACACTAGCCATCTGTGTGAGAAGAGCAGACAGCATACGTTTCTGGTAGTTACGCTTAAAGGCATCCACTACACCATGACACAAAGGCTGGAGCCGGATTGAGTACGTTGGAGGACATACCATTTGAACATTCTCCAGGATGATCTCAGTAGCATCTGGAGGTGCCCTGTCCACAAACAACACAATCTTCCTTCCTTGCTCTCCCATCCTCTGATCCAGAGACACAACCCACTCGGTGAAGAACTCAACTGTTGACCAAGTGCTTGTGCTCCATCGCCACGTCACAGGAACATCTGATGGTATATCTGCCTCAGTCTTCTCCTGTTTTCCTATGACAACAGGAGTCTCGAACTCTCCCAGGATATTGCAACACATGACTACGGACACATTTTGACTCTGGAACCGTTTCTTGATCTGATACTGAGCTGCATCTACAACCTGTTCCGGCATGCTGGTGAAAAATAAAACCGTCTCACTCACACTGAACACATCCTTTGCCTCATATTCCCTTGTGTATTCTGGCAGCTTTTCCCTCCATGACAAAATATCCTTTTCATCACAAATCACAAGATTCTTGTGATCATTGGTCACAATATTGTTCCTTCTTCTGAAGCTGTCCAGCCAGCCGTTTGAGGCCTTGAAATCATCTCTGCCCAACTGTTTAGCAATCTCCCTTGCTTTTGCCTGTACCAGAACCCCAGTGAGTTGACCCTCCCCCCGAGAGTGTGCCTCCTGGAACCACTGCCATGTCAGTCTGTTCACGTCATCGTTCTCTGCTCTGTGGTTCAAGCGTTTCATGCCTCCTTTGCCTGTTCTGCTAAACGTGTCCACAATTTCATCCTTCCTCCTCAGGATGGAGTGTACCTGTGATTTTCCTACCCCAAACATTGTTGCTAACTGTCTCTGGCTCTTCCCTTCACTCTGGAAGATGAGTTGAACCTTTTCCTCAATAGTCAAGTCTTTCCTTTTACAAACCTTGTCTTTCTTTCTCTTTTTGGGTTTCGCTTTTTCATTTGCACTGTCATCCATCAGTTCTAATGGATATATGCTTCCCAATGGAATGTTTTCTGGGGGGTCATAAACAAATCCCTGACCTGTTGAAAACTTAATATTATGTCTTTTTCGAAAAGTATCCAACCAACCATTCGAAGCTTTGAAATCATCTCTCCCAAGCTGGTTTGCAAACTCCTTAGCCTTTGCTTGCAGCATGGGACCTGAAATTTGCACTGACTTCATCTTGGCAATTTCTTTGAACCAATGCCAGGTCAGCTGATTAATTTCATCACTCTCTGCCCTGCTGTGAAGTCTCTTTCGGTTTGTATTCCCAAGTCTTTCATATGCTTCCAAGATCTCATTTTTCCTCTTTAGAGTGGAGTACACTTGAGAACGACCAACTCCGAACATTTTGGAAAGTTCTCGTTCTGGCTTGCCCGCGCTGTGCTGCTGTAGCAGTTCCACCTTCTCCAGAAGATTCAGCTCACACCGCTTGAACTTCTTCCCAGAAGCCGGTGTTGGTCTTTTACTATGTGCAGCTGAGTCTCTATCTTTCGCAGGATCTTCCCCAGGAGTATTTGGTTCTGGAGTTGAGACAACAGTCGAGATGCTCTCGTCAGCAGTTTCTACATTTTTAGCAGAATTGTCTTCTGATGCATCAGACTGGGCAGCTTCCTCCTCATCTCCTTGTCCAGAAACAAAGCTGGCATCTTCTCCCCATCCTTCATTGCCACTGACAACCTGGGAAGGCCACGGGGTCAGACCAGTGGTGTCTTTCACATACATGCCCTGCTTAGAATTGAACCCAATGTTGTTTCTTTTGCAGAAGCTATGCAGCCATCCATTAGAGGCACGGAATTCTGTTCGACCCAATTCAAGGGCAAACTCCTTAGCTTTTTCTTGAACAACTGGACCAGAAAGAGACACATCACCCTTTTTATATTCACTCATAAACCAATCAAGAGTAAGGCTGTTGATTTCATCCTTGTCTGCGCGCAAGCGAAGCCTTTTTCTTTCAAGTTGGCCTCCTTGTTCATACATGTTCATAATTTCTCTTTTTCGTTTTAGAATCAGATTAACCTGAGACTTGCCAACACCAAATATTTCTGCAAGTGCTCTCTGGCTTTTTCCTTTACTGTGGTGAATCAGATCAACTTTCTCTTGCAAGGTGAGTTCAATCCTTCGACCTCTGTCCTTTGAAGAAGGCAAAACTGGAATTGAGAGGAATGATTCGAGTTGGTTTGATGGGGAAAAGTTTGAGGTACTGACAACTGGCACTGGGGAGGCAGATGGCATGTTGTAAACAGATGGCTGGGAACTTGAAGCATGTGTAGCGTCATCCTTCGACATACTGCTAATCGTTTCATAGATCTGTTGGGGAGAGGTGAATCCAGTTTTCGACACAAGAGACTGAATGTGAGACAAGTAGGAGAGGTCGAGATCAGAATTAGTTTCTGAAACAGATGAGTCCGCTTCTCTACTTGTGGGTGGAATGCCTGCCCTGGCCATTGCTGCCCGAACCTGTGACTCCATTTTCAAAAGATGTTGTGGGTCAGTATCTGAGGTAGATTTTTTGCCTTGAGTTACAAGGCCGAGAGTGTTAACGAACTCTGACGTAGGATACTGCGTAGCAGACGGACAGGGCGGGGCAGGAGGTGGTGGTGAAGAGGCAGAAGTGAGTGAGTCTGAGGTTCCTTGTGATAATGACACAGCTACAGCAGATAAAAACCTCAAATCAGATTCATCCGATTCCATTCAGCGACACTTTTGAAACGGTCTAGGTGAGTTTTATAGGTCGTACATCACTGTCAGCATCCCGTTGCAGTTTCTACACTTGGAAGTCTCCTTCAGAAACACATCCCATTTCATTTGAATTCCTTGAACCTTTCTCGTGGTGACCCTGTAACATAAATGCAATACATGTCAAATTAATGTAATTTAATGTTACAAATCTGAGTGGCATGACATCTGGCAGTGCAAAAAAGTTATTCATGTTTATAAGCCATATCTCTTGTCAATTAACTTACTATTCACCACATTTTCTTGTGTATATTGCACACTTCCCCTCCCCCTCCCTCCCCCCCAAAAAAACAACAACAAAAATTGTACAGCCGTGTCGAAGCATAATACACATGCACAAAGAGTTTGATGCTTTCAACTGACATTACCGTGATCATATAAAATTGGAAATACCATGTCAACAAAATCGTACTGAAGTACGCAAGTTAGCCCTCTAATTACATTATCCGGGTATACAAAAAGTGCTCATTGTATTTCTGGACATATATTTGTACTGTATTCGACGTAATAAGTGCCCTGCTCTAATAACGCCCACGGCGATATTTGTTAATATTTTGGCTAGTGAACAATCCCAATTAGCACCCCTTCCGATTGATCAATGTACACAAGACTTATTTATTTGTGTATAATACGCACTCGTGTTTCATATGCACCCTTAATTATGGGCAATTAAATTCTGGAAAAATATATCTGTCGTATATAAACATTTCAGGCTGTCAGCATAAACCATGAAATTTATCTTTCAACTCTGTTTTTTCCCCACCAAAATACGATTCTAATAAGAGGCCCCCTATTTCAAATTTTGAGAGCGCCCCGGGCGCTTATTACGTTGAATACGGTGGTAATCTGTTTTAATAAGTTGTTGAAAATTTTATTCATTATTGTTTACAGAGAATGGATACACATATCATAAATTCTAGTTGGACTCATGGTTGTTTTTGTGATCAAAAGAGCGCACGACTGGAACCCTAAAACAATTACTCGACAAACTTTTTGTTGTTGTTTTGTGTTGATTGTTGTTTAACACCGCACTCATCAATATTCCAGCTATATGATGGCATCATGAGCATCGATCTACACAATTGGGATAAAATGACATGCCTGAACCAAGTCTGCGAGCCTGACCACCCGATCCCGTTAGTCGCTTCTTATGACAAGCATAGTCGCCTTTTACGGCAAGCATGGGTTAGAGAAGACCTATCTTGCCCCAGATCTTCATGTGTAAACTCGTCAAAGTGTTCCATACATAAAATATATATCCGTCAATATACCAAAAGTGCTTGACTTGAGGTTATTATTATATTAGGTATTTTTAGTAAAAGCTGCAATGAAAAATAATATGATATTGAAATATATACTGAACTAAAAAAGTGAGGGATCATAACTATTTTGCGGGATATTTTTATGAAATTTTGTGCTCAGTCTTCCCCATAAAAAGAATATCCAAAAAAAATATTTCAGTCGATTGCAGGACTTGCAAAGCATGTGAACCATCAACTGGGCGTCGACATACCTACAGGCTAGTTCGGCAAGGGTGGAAACTGGACTTTTATAGTCCCTTACCTTGGGAAGATGAATGTGCAGTGGTCAAATTTTGAAATCTTGCCAACACTGCCAGGGAGATAAACTTGATTGAATGAGTGCTGCTTTGAACAGTTTTCAGCTATATTACATGGGATAATGTGGAGATAAGCCGGAAGTGATGTGGGTGGTAGATATTCAGCATAAGCATGAGTTTGATTCTGACATGCCAAGGATCGTAATCAGGGCATGTCCACAATCAGTGGATCCTGACACAGCACAGAATACTGGTGTTGGTTATCACCCTGAATACCGGTATTTATATCAATTATCACACCTCTCAGACAAATTAAGCCTGTGTGGATTCCAGGTTAGAATCGGTCCCCAGCAACCTATGCTTGTCACAATGGCAACTTAATGGATCGGGTGGTCAGGTTTGATGATGGCATGGGTGCTCATGACATCAATCACTGGATTGTCTGGTCCAGATTTATTTATTTACAGGCAGCCGATATAGCTAGAATGTTGGTGAGTACCGAGTTAAGCAACAAACAAAGCATCTAATTGGTTAGAAAATTAATGAATCAGAACCAGAATTGTTTTCTCATCAACATGTACAATATAATGCATTTGAAGTGAAACAGTGGTCGTCAAGGCACTGTCGGATGACGGAACATTTACCTTAAATAAAATTCATAATTCATAACTTGTTTCATCATAATTATGTGAATACTTTTTGTAACACAATCTGGAACAGACAATGAAAAGAATAACATACCAACTTGCTCGGCTGGCTTTAATGTGTGCCACGCTAACAGCTGGATGTTCATGAGTTGTTTTAGCAAATTGTGGGGCAGGCTTTTAACAGCGAAACAGTAAACGTTAACGGAATAACTATTGCTCTTTCGATAATCGTTGGGAAAAGTCCAGATTAATCGTTAACTGATTATTCAATAAATCGAGCCACCACAACTAATTACATAACATTACAAGGGACATAAAATTTCACGATGTATTTGAAGAACCTTTTCTATTTCATCAAAATTGAATATTTTAATTATTGACAGTTATATGTTAATTTAGTTTGGACTATTAACATAGAATCTAGTTAATATCTGGGACCACATAATATCACAAATAACATTTCTTTTTTAGATAATGCCGATATTAGTGATATAATCAAATCAATGTTATTTTACACATTGCTAGATGTATGCCTGACTTCATGAAAAAGCAAATTACATCATAAATGTAAACCAATTCATTAATCATGATAATAGAAAAATATGACCATTTCTAGGGTGTGTCAAGTTGTTTTCATTTCAGGACCTTACATGTTTCATAATCTGAATCAGCTGGTATATGGTCTCTGTCTGAAGGCTATAGGACTATGGTGTGCATATTGGGCATGTTATCCATTACGTTTCGTTCTACAAGTACTTGTGCCACCAGCTCGATCAGGCAACTGATACGCTAGATCTCTGACACCACTCCAAACACTCCTCAAAACATAAACAAACACTGTAAACAAACCAATTTCAATGAAATCTTATGTTTAATTAAAGATATCCTGCATTCCGAAAATGCGCCCTGATCGAAAACTGGTAGATAACGAAGGAGAGTGCCCAGGAAACGAAAACATGAAAGCTTGCCCTGCGGTCGGAAATCGGGAACAGGCACCCTTGTTTTATCCGCACCCGAAGAACTTGCTTGGAGCCGAAACGATCGTCGAACCGAACAGAGCCGTGTGTCTGCATCGGTGTTTTAAATAGGTTGTAAACACTGCAAATGACATATCGAAACTTCCCCAAACGACCACTGCATACATTAGCAGGAAGGAGAAGACGACATTTTCTTCATTCTACGTGACCTGCCGAAAACAGCAAACCTGCCGAAAGCAAACTGGGGATTAACCTCGGTATTCTGGACTGATAATGTCTACCAACCGTTACAGTATGTACTAATGGATCCTACTGATTACACCAGACATGGGAACACTCACCAAATTGTAAATAATCGTTACTTTTTCCCAGGGCTTTGTTTTCAGGAACACATATAAGACCCAAGGGACATAACTCTTCTTAATGACTATTTCACCGGAAAATGCGTACAACGTGAAACATTAAAGATCGAATCCCAGTATTTTTATGTTTGTTTTTCATCAAATACAACATTATTACTGTGAGAAAAGTTCATATTATTATACGATGCACATACGTTATCATATGTTTTATCGAGAAATTAAAATGGTGCATGTGTTATGGTGATAATTTTGAGAGCTTGTAAATGTATTGCATGATGTACTAGCTACTGCTGTTATTGTGCTTTCTTAAAATTTCGGTAAACTACTTATCCATTTGGGAGAGCTATCACTTTTGGTTATTTGTTGTTTAGGAGCAGGGAAAGTATGTGTTCTTCTAAAGGTGTGTGAAATGAAACTCGGATTCAGTGAGGTGAGATGAGGTGAGGTGAGGTGAGAGACTTGATGCTCGTGGGAATTGCACTGATTTTGAGTCGCACTTTTGGCTTGGGGTCAGCAGTCGTATTTATTTGGAGATAAATTAATTTCAATATTTACATTTATTATTATTATTATTTGTCCTGAAATTAAGAGAATGTGAGTTAATTCCTAATGCTGAATGGTTCCTTAAAAGGATAATTTACTTAACATAACATTTACATAATGGACTTCGTCAACAATAATAATTTCAAAGACTGCTTATGAAATAATCAACAACTGGACAACAATACGAAATCAGTGACAACGTTGAGCGTAATGCAATAATGCTTCACAAGCCCCACCCACTATTGTTTTGGCCAATCAGGAAACAATAGTCCGTCAGTCGGCGTGGGCGTGGGCGGGGGCGTGGCCTAATTATATTTTGGAAACAACACAGAAAGAATTGCTTGAATGGTAAGCCAGTCAAACTCCTTGGAATCAATTCCAATTTATGTATTTAACCTATACATAACTTTATTACACGGGGGATTCCGGGTAAGAATACATGCCTCCATCAGACTGTATATATATATGCTTGTCGTAAATGGATCGGGTGGTCAGGCTCTGTGACTTCGAAGATTGCACGTCATCGTTTCCCATTTGCGTCGATGGATGCTCATTACGTCAATCACTGGATTGTCTGGTCAATTATTTACAGATCGCCTCCATATTGGTGCGGTGTTAAACAACAAACGCAATTATTTTTCGGGGATATATCTCACCCGAGTGTCTTTTGATATCAAATATATCAACACTCGTTGATAAAGGTTTTTCCACTTTTATCAACGGGTGTTGATATATTTGATACCAAAAGACACGAAGGTGAGATTTTATTTATCATCCAATATCATTCTTCCAACTTTTTCAGCTTGTATTGAGGTCACATTTATAAAAAATTTTTATCATGAATAATTTAAAAGGTCTTAAGAAATTTCGTTATCATAGATTACAGAGCACCTTTGTAATTGGTACATTTTATGGATAGAATTAATTTGTACACAATAAACTCAATAAAAGCTATAGATCTATTTCCGTCTTCGTTTGGGCCGTTATGACACGGGGCGTCTTAACCAAAACTGATCACGTACCCAGCAACAAATAACGAACATAGTCAAGTTACCATTTTGTGTTGTTGGCTTTACATCCTCACATGTCTGTGTTGAATAAGCTTGCATTGGGGACAAATAATTGCAGCTATCATCAGATGTCACCCAGAGCATAGACGATTAATGGGTTCAGCCATCATATATGAATATTGGTTTTGTCCGGTTTTCAAAGACGATCCGGTTTTTATAGCCATTGAAATCACATGACCTTTAAACGGGACAAAATGGCGCTGCCCATGTCAATGAGGAGTGTTCGATTTGTTGATAGGTGATATGTGGTAAACGTCGCTGAACAACCATGGTTCGGGTGTTCGATTGTCATAGTTTCAAGTCAAAGAAAGTTATTCCCATCCAAGATGAACCACTGGCAATATGTGCAGACGAGAAGCACGTTTTTGTGGCGACGAGACGATGCACTGTTGTTGTTTTCGCAATAACGGAGGACGGCTGTCGGGAGACGAGGCGTTTTGAGACCGTGTCCCTGGTTGAACAACTACTCTACAACCCTGCCAGTGTGTAGTTATCTACTCTTTCTTTTCAAATCAAAATGATCAAATATATCAAGATGTCATTGGATTGTTTGTCGTGAAATACCCCAGAAACTGATGATCCAGCTTAAAATCAAAGTCACACCGGTGCGGAAGATAAATCTAATAGATAATGTGGCTGTCATAGATATGTCACGTATTGTAGCGGTTATGTCAGGGTCAGTTATCAAGAGTTTTTACGAGAGAAGTAACTGTCATCTGTTTAAACACATTATAAACACATGCTGCAGTCTATCCCTTCAGCGAAAAGGCTAGTTTAAATTCATAAAGTTATGATTTTCCTAGAGACGTAAGGCATACAGACTTTTTGTGTGATTTTGTCAACATTTTATAGGACATTGTTAGATATCATTAAGTAGTTTAAGAAAATCTCTAGGACATTTTGGATGACAAATCATCCTATTAATCATCCGAAAATGTTCCAATTTCAAAACCAGTTGGTACTAAGGACTACTCAAATTCTACAAGTACCCTAAGCATGCTAAGTGACCATTCCTATGGTCTAGCTGCAAATGCTTTCACATATTCTGATTTTGTTATTCATCAGACAACTTGACAGTTTGGATAATTTTTTTCTTTCCAACACAAAAACATTTCAAAGAACATGTTGAAATTATTTATAGCGTAGTCTAGTGGATAGAACTTCTGCCTGGGGAGCGGAAGATCAGGGATTCGATTCCCGGCCGATTCATATCAAAAGATGTTAAAAGCTGGTACTTGTTGTTACCCTGCCTGTCGCTCGGCATTTAGGGGCTAAAACAAGGACTGGCTGACTCGAAGTCAGTATACGGTTGGGTATTCATGTTAAGCTGCGACATGGTATCTCAGTGGGCTAGCACTTTAAAATTTGCATTAGTCCGGACTTGTACAAGCTGCCACAAACACACACACATGCATGCATGTCGCTTTATAAGTGCAATTATCTTGAACGCGATGTTAAACCCCATTTCACCTCAGACATGCTGGAGTTTGTATTTCTTTGTGTTTTAGACATTGAGATGATCCTTCTTACCTTGGACTTTAACTATTCATGGTTTTTATCTGGATCTTGCAAAACAGACCATGATCACTACAGTATAACAGAATGAATTTGTGAATTTTAACTGATATTTGTTGCAGACTTTGGACGAATATCAGCCTCTGAGCAGATCCAGATAAATTTCTACTTATGATGTTTCACCTTGCTTTTCAGAAAACTATTTAATAACAGTCGAGTTCAAGAAATCATGGAAAAATTTAACCAAATATATCCGTGTCTATCTAAACTGGGATTGTGACATTCCTCAAGGTTCTAAAATCAAGACTAAAGTACGCATCGCTGGCAAATCCCATTCCTCTCTCATATCTTCCACTCAGAACTATCTGGATGTCGTGGAAATTCCTGTAGATCGGAAAATTGCTGACATATCAGTGTGTTCCCAAACAGGGAACTTTGCTGTGGCAATCGATCGCGAGGTCAAGGTCTTCCACTTAGTAGACAAGACTGTGCCAAGCTCGGGGAAGACGTATCGAGATGTGGAGATCTTTCTGGAGCTTTGCTGGAACTTTAGGCTGGTGACGCTGTCACTGTGCGAGGATTATGTGGTGTGTTCCTCCCAGAACGAGTTCCAGGCTGTGAGGTTGGAGTACACGGATTCCGATTCCGAGTCGTCTCGTCTTAACCAAATAAAATCAGAGAGGAAAAGGTATGTGTATGAAAACTATTACTTATATGCTTGGTATATTATTCAAGGCTGAGATTTAGCTAGGCTTCTAAACTAATGGCCATGGCAGGCAGGCGTTATTTTCCCAAATAAGAATTTCATAAATTCTCAAAATTGCATTCAATGTAATGAAGTCTTACTGTAATTATTTGTTTATAATACTCAATTTTTTCACAAGTTTAGACTCCAAAATTAGGGGGGTGTATTAGACATGAGAACTAGATGTTACCCCCTTTTATCCAGCCAAGCGTGTGGCCATACAACAGAAGACGACCAATGGAACGTTTTGACTGGAAATTACCGGTAGTTAAATCCACTGATGTATAAACAGAAATCACAACACTTACCTCTATTTTTCTCTGATAATAATGATATATTCAATGTTTATTACAACTTATTTGTTTCAGCTATTCTTTTGTTAAATTAATTTGAAATTGTATTATTACAGCCATTTATTGTCATAGTTATGATGGATTGACTTTGGAATCTATGTTAACTACAGAGGCCAGTGATTGACACTGAGTAAAAAAAAAAAAATAAAAACATTTCAAATAACCTCAGAAGTATTCTCTTTGTTGGTACATTTAATATGCTTCAATTCCAAAGGACATACTGAACGATGATGATTGCTTTCCCTGGGCTTGTCAATGTTGTCAGTTGAATAGCCTTTCAAAAGTATTTTGAAACTATTAAGACTGATGGTATGTCTATGTTGACATGAGATAATATCACTAAACTAAATGACAGGGTAAACACAGGCTATAGGATATTGACATCAATGACATGTATGAGTTTGTTGTTCTATTGACAAATTGATTTAGTTTCATGTTGAGTAAGAACATGCTTAAAGGGGCACTGATCCAACGCAATTCCCCGGAACTGGTTGTTGCCTTTGTTATTGTTTTTTCCCAGTGAGTACCCGGATGTATAGCAGAAATCTAGACTAGTTCGCGACCTCTGCTGCGCCATTCGTAAGCGCATTAGTCACTTTTATGGATACCGGTAGTAATAAGGGCGTATGGTCACATTGATCAACAAAATGAAATAAAGATTTCGAGATAATAAGGAAATGTAGGTATCTTTGTGGGTAGCATTGGTAATGGTGACGAAGTTTTGATAAGTCACTTGCTTTTTGTCTGTTTGTTTAGGCTGAAGAAATTAATTAACATGCGCCCTTTGTCAAAATCTTTATAGATCACAGTTAACCAATCAGTGTTTATGCAAAAATGCATAAAACAAATATTGCATCCAGCCTCCAAGTTTATTTAGCTGTCCTTGCAGATGGTAGCCCAGTCTCTGGTCACGCTCAGTGGCGTTGCGTATCATCCGGGTACTCACAGGGGAAAAAACAATAACAAAGGCAACAACCAGTCCGGGGAATTGCGTTAGATCAGTGCCCCTTTAACACTCTCAATTAGGGATGATCATGTTTACTCATGTTATCAGTCCCATCCAAGTTGTCTTTTCTTGTGCATCAATGGGATAGATATTTTACCAAGGCTAAAGAGACTTACCATTACTACTTACACTTACTATTTTTTAATTTTTTAAATAATTTATTCCCAAAATTAACAACTCGGAGCAGCTCGGACCCCATTACATGTTGGGAGTGATAATTCAGATAATCGCAACATTACAATGAAAAATAAAAGAATTATATATTCAAATTGTGGTCTACCCGACTGTTCAGCCCAACCAATAATACATCGGTTGGGTTTGTATTGGTTTACTTGTTTTTCATCGTCTGTTTCTCCTGGCCTCACGTTTCAGTGAACCTACTCTAACCCCTGGATCCATTCTCGTGTTTCTTGCAATCTCAAATTACCCGCAATTTGATTTGCTAGGCTACTCAGTCTAATGGACCAATCAGAAGCCGGGTCACAAAATAGCCTCAATGTTGGGTTGGCATTACCTGCAATGGTACAATTCCCATTGATTACAATAGAGTTTGCCAGAAATTCAACATTGAGAAGCTGACTGACATGCAAAAGAAAGCCCGAAAAAATGTTTCTGATGTCTTCATGTCCATGAGAGGTGGCAGTGGCACGTCAGATTTCCCTTTTACGTATCTCAATGTTTTAAAATGTTGGTAAATGTTAATGAAAATCAAGAGCGGATGATTTGAGATCGTGAGAACCAAATGCATGGATCAGGGGGTTAGTGAAGGTTTTCTGAAAGGCGAGCCTGGGACATATAGAGGATGGTTGCAGTTTGTCACTGAAAACCTGCTTTCAAATGAAGATACCGTATTTGACGTAATAAGCGCCCTGCTCTAATAAGCGCCCACGGCGATATTTGTTAATATATTGGCTAGTGAACAATCCCAATTAGCACCCCTTCTGATTGATCAATGTACACTAGATTTATTTATTCGTGTATAATACGCACTCGTGTGTTATATGCACCCTTAATTATGGGCAATTAAATTCTGGAAAAATATATCTGTCGTATATAAACATTTTAGGCTGTCAGCATAAACCTCAAATTTATGTCATTTTCTGTTTTTTTTTCACCAAAATATTATTCTAATAAGAGCCCCCTGTTTCTAATTTTGAGAGCGCCCTGGGCTTATTACGTCGAATACGGTAGTTTTATCAATCATGTCTATAGCGAAGCACAACAAATTTATGCTAGTGGCTTAAAATAAGGGCAATAGTAGGATGGTGATAACAACTTTGGTTCAATTGAGAAAATATTTTTAGGGTTGTTGGAACCAGATTAGGTGGGGAAACTGGAAACACATATTGTCTTGGTTTGTTAATGAACTGAACATAAGACACATGGTGAGCTTTAGTACCTCGGCACTATTTCTTTTCTCCTTGTCAGGTCAGAGGACAAAGATGGTCAAGGTCATGTGTATCGCACAACGCCCCCATCCCCAGGGTCCTCGTACCGAACCAACAGTCACCTCTCCTCATTGGCTGACGTAGATGAGATATTTGAAAGCGACCCACCAGACATCGATCAGATTGAATACTCCATGATTGGCCAGAACCGATCAACGAATCCCAGCCCCTACGTCCACAGCACGTCCGACTTGTCCAGTAGCTATTCCTCCTCCACCAGGATCTCAGATGATGACTATTTCCAGGCGTGGAGGTTTGAGGGGGAAGACTCCGAGACAGGGGAGATAACTATTCATCTGCCGGGCCTCCAGGGAACGTCCAGGTCACTTGGCCACAAATCATCCCCACCTGTGCTGCAGGACCTTAGAGGTGAGAATCAAGATGCGTGTGAGTGAGTGAGTGACTTGGGTTTCAACTCCGCTTTTAACAGTATTCCAGTCATATCATGGCGTGTCAGCTTAATGTGGGAGGAAAGCCTGAAGTGGTGCTTACAAACCTAGAAACATAATCTTGGTGAACCGGGATTCTAACCCACAACCATAGGTTTCTGGCGTGCCTAAGGGACGCAACTCTGCACGTCGAATCGCGGCGCCTTAGACGACTGGGCCACCCATAGAATCAAGATGAAGCGATGCACTGATCAGTGATCATCATACCAACCATATGCTTCAATCTGTTTCGTTGATTCTTGTCACAAATTGTTTAAATTATCTGTACCTCAGGTGATAAAGGTAATCTTGACATATTAAATTCATCACGCATAGTCTAATCTCATATTGGTGTTAGCCAATCAACAGCAAAGAAGGTGAAATGGGGTTTAATGTCAATCAAGATTTTTGAATTTATATAGTGATGTGTATGTGTAAGTGTGTGTCTGCTTATACTAGTCCGGACTAATGCCCGTTTTGAATATATATAGTACCATCTTTTAACATCTTTTGGTATGATGTGGCCGGGGATCGAACCACAGACTTTCTGAGTCCCACAGATGACATCCTTACCCTCTTAACCTCTTTGGTCATGTGGACAAGGCCTCGGATCAGAAGGTCTTTGGTTCGAATCCCTTCATGAAAGTTTGTGGATGCTACGTCTGCGTGAAAGCAAATACATTTGCGTGTGTTGTAGGAGGCCCGTTCAAGTCGTCCGGTGGGGTGAGGGCCGTCACGCTGCTACACTTCTCGGACGCCGGCATGCGGGAGGACTGGCAGCAAGTGACCATTGTTCCTGCATATCTCCCGGGTAACTTGCTCCGTACTTCTACCTGAGTATTCTGTGAAAGAAGCATGCTAAAAGTACCGCTGTGGAGATTCAGTCATGATGAATGGGACAGGTATACTTATCCTGGGAGGCCTGCTTCATATCATGATATATTACAGGTGTATATCAAGCAAGGTCTGTTGTACATGTCAGCTGTATCCAAGAAGATCAGTTCTGTTACTGGTATACCCTGGAAGGTCTGTTGTTTTTATAGGTATATCGGGAAGGTCCGTTGTATATTGCAGGTATATCAAGCAAGGTCTGTTGTACATGTCAGCTGTATCCCAGAAGATCAGTTCTGTTACTGGTATACCCTGGAAGGTCTGTTGTTTTTATAGGTATATCGGGAAGGTCCGTTGTATATTACAGGTATATCAAGGCAGGCCTGTTGTATATTGCAGGTATATCCAGGCAGGTCTGTTGTATATTGCAGGTATATCCAGGCAGGTCCATTGTAAATAGGAGGTATATCCATGCATGTCTGTTGTATATTGCAGGTATATCCATGCAGGTCTGTTGTATATTGCAGGTATATCCTGGAAGGTCTGTTGTATATTGCAGGTATATCCTGGAAGGTCTGTTGTATATTGCAGGTATATCCTGGAAGGTCTGTTGTTTATTGCAGGTATATCCTGGAAGGTCTGTTGTATATTGCAGGTATATCCTGGAAGGTCTGTTGTATATTGCAGGTATATCCTGGAAGGTCTGTTGTATATTGCAGGTATATCCTGGAAGGTCTGTTGTATATTGCAGGTATATCCAGGCAGGTCTGTTGTATATTGCAAGTATATCCTGGAAGGTCTGTTGTATATTGCAGGTATATCCTGGAAGGTCTGTTGTATATTGCAGGTATATCCAGGCAGGTCTGTTGTATATTGCAAGTATATCCTGAAAGGTCTGTTGTATATTGCAGGTATATCCAGGCAGGTCTGTTGTATATTGCAGGTATATCCTGGAAGGTCTGTTGTATATTGCAGGTATATCCTGGAAGGTCTGTTGTATATTGCAGGTATATCCAGGCAGGTCTGTTGTATATTGCAAGTATATCCTGGAAGGTCTGTTGTATATTGCAGGTATATCCAGGCAGGTCTGTTGTATATTGCAGGTATATCCTGGAAGGTCTGTTGTATATTGCAGGTATATCCAGGAAGGCTGTTGTATATTGCAAGTATATCCTGGAAGGTCTGTTGTATAATGCAAGTATATCCTGGAAGGTCTGTTGTATATTGCAGGTATATCCAGGAAGGTGGAGTCAGGGAGTACCTCTACACCGGTAATGTCGCCTCGATATCGCAACATGGCATCCATGAGCTGCTTCGTCAGCGGGGGACGGGGAGGGTGCCTGTACTCTCTCTACCCTCGGGTAAAACTCGTCACATGCTACAGATATACAACAAGTGCTGTCAAGGTATGTCCCCAGAGTTAGGTAGATATACAACAAGTGCTGTCAAGGTATGTCCCTGAGTTAGGTAGATATACAACAAGTGCTGTCAAGGTATGTCCCAGAGTTAGGTAGATGTATGTCCCAGAATTGGGTAGATATACAACAAGTGCTGTCAAGGTATGTCCCTGAGTTAGGTAGATATACAACAAGTGCTGTCAAGGTATGTCCCAGAGTTAGGTAGATGTATGTCCCAGATTTAGGTAGATATACAACAAGTGCTGTCAAGGTATGTCCCTGAGTTAGGTAAATATTGAACCAGTGCTGTCAAGGTATGCCCCAGAGTTAGGTAGATATTGAACCAGTGCTGTCAAGATATGTTTGAGAGCTTTCAATTACAGAAAATTGACTTTGTTGAGTAAGAAAAACGTACACCTTTATGGCATAACAACTTCTGGTTTACTGCATACAGTGATGTATCGATGTAGAGTCTTACACCGTTATCAAACTGGAGCGACAACAACCAAGTGATGCGAGGTATACATGACATGTTGTGATAGCAGCAGATTAACAGACAACAACGGTAATGGATAACAAGCAGATAATTGGATGAAGCCAAATGTACAGTACCAATAATTAAATAGCACATGGGGTTGGTTTTTCTTGCTTATTTTCCCAACTTCTAGAATTCCAATCAAACGGATAACTCATTCGTCACCACTCGCCCCTTTCCGTAACCTGCAAGGAGACTCGTCCCCCTATCGATGAATGTTATGTGCGAAAATACGACAAACCAATCAGAATGCGCGTTTGATTTTAAGTTCTTCGTCAAAGAATCCCTCAGAAATAATTTTTGATTCTACATATGTCTTGCATCTAAAAATATACCCAAGACACAGTTAAATGTGTTCAAGCATACTGTATAATTCCGCATGTCCCAATGTGTTTTAAATTGCATCTGAAATATATATAACACATGGGGAAATAATATGTGAACCATTACGCAACGAGTTGACAATTGTTTTAGGTATGCCCAATTAGAAAATTGACAAAAGAGGCACAATGAGTAAAATTTGTCAGAGATCAAGCGGTAGCGATTATGCTTAGGCAATTATATGGCAATTGTGCTGCTTGTTTTTGTAAAAACTGTCCTGGGTAATATACGAAAGAAAATAGACTGTCATGTATTGTGTTCCTCATTATAAAAAAACTGACATCTATAATTTCTCTTCCTTATGTGTATCACTTCTAAATGCCTTTCAAAGACTTGATACTTAGTTTGTCAAAGGGCACTTATTGGAGTGGGATGCTTCTTAATATGGTGAATACGGTGTGTCAAATTGTATGACGAGTTAAAGTTTGTCAGAAGGTGTCATGCAATGACAGTGTGACGTGAGGCAACACTATCGGTATATCTCATAGAACTGTATCACTACAGAGTCTCATTGGAAAGTTGATAAATACCGTATTCGACGTAATAAGCGCCTAGGGCGCTCTCAAAATTAGAATGAGGGGGCTCTTATTAGAATATAATTTTGGTGAAAGAGTTGAAAGATCGTAAATTTGTGGTTTAGGCTGATAGCCTAAAATGATACAAAAGAAAAGTTTGTACGTATAAGACACACCAGATATATTTTCCCCGAATTTAATTTCCTGTAATTAAGGGTGAAAATAAAACACGAAGGGTGCTAATTGGGATTGTTTACTAGCCAATATATTAGCAAATATCGCCGTGGGCGCTCATTAGAGCGGGGCGCTTATTACGTCGAATACGGTAATGAAATACAAAAGACATTGTTACAAAAAGAATTCATTCTTAAACTAGTTACGTGAATATGTTGGCTGGTAAGCTGGGTTGTTTTGTGGTTTAACCTGTTGTAAGACCAGTTGTCATGGACACAGAAGTTGGCAAAGTTATATTTTTTTTCACTTATCGTTATGTTAGGGTCTGTGGAATCTGTTGACCAATTCCAGCCAAATCTCGCCATAGAGTCCTGCATGTTGCTTGTTGCCAGATCATCCCCTGCAGTGGGCTGCTGCATGTGGCCACCACCACGGGCGTGGAGACGTACACCGCCCGCGACAGCACCGTCGCCATCCACCAGTCGGAGGAGTACGACTTCACCACGAAGGTGAGAGCCGGTCCCAGACAGCTCAAGACCATGCCTCCATGTGCTGCTGTGATTCACATTGGTCTTGTTTTTCTGCTGTATCTGTCATCTTTTAGAAATTAACATTATTTTACACCAGCCTATTGTAATATATAGAGAATCTCACCCGAGTGTCTTTTGATGTCAAATTTATCAACGCGAGTTGATAAAAGTGGAAAATTGTAGATATCGCTTGATCTCAACAAACGATATCTCCTGTGGGAGCATGTTTTGGATGATAAATTATATTTATGACATGGAAACATGTGAGTCCAATACATATTTCTATTCACATGAGAAACAATAAGCCAATCATGATGTACTGGGTTTGGTCTCCTAGTATTGGACGCCTGCAGCCGTATTTGTCTGGAAGGATGGGTTTCCAGGGTCAGGACTGATGAGGTTCACTGTATCCTCTAAATAGTGGCCCTGTGGTCTGAGGAGCCATATTCCTTGGTGGTCCCCTCAGTTAGGGTGGTCCCCTCAGTCAGGATCGTCCCCTCAGTCAGGGAGGTCCCCTCTGTAGTCAGGGTGGTCCCCTCTGTAGTCTGGGTGGTCCCCTCGGTAGTCAGGGTGGTCCCCTCAGTCCGGATGGTTCCCTCAGTCCGGATGGTTACCTCAGTCAGGGAGGTCCCCTCGGTAGTCAGGGTGGTCCCCTGTCAGGGAGGTCCCCTCGGTAGTCAGGGTGGTTCCCTCTGTAGTCAGGGAGGTCCCCTCTGTAGTCAAGGTGGTCCCCTCGGTAGTCAGGGTGGTCCCCTCTGTAGTCAGGGAGGTCCCCTCTGTAGTCAGGGTGGTCCCCTCTGTAGTCAGGGTGGTCCCCTCTGTAGTCAGGGTGGTCCCCTCTGTAGTCTGGGTGGTCCCCTCGGTAGTCAGGGTGGTCCCCTCAGTCCGGATGGTTCCCTCAGTCCGGATGGTTACCTCAGTCAGGGAGGTCCCCTCGGTAGTCAGGGTGGTCCCCTGTCAGGGAGGTCCCCTCGGTAGTCAGGGTGGTTCCCTCTCTAGTCAGGGTGGTCCCTCGGTTGTCAGGGTGGTCCCCTCTGTAGTCAGGATGGTCCCCTTAGTCAGGGTGGTCCCCTCAGTGAGGATGGTCCCCTCAGTAGATAGGGTGGTCCCCTCAGTCAGGGTGGTCGTCTCAGTGAGGATGGTCCCCTCAGTAGATAGGGTGGTCCCCTTAGTCAGGGTGGTCCCCTCAGTCAGGGTGGTCCCCTCAGTGAGGATGGTCCCCTCAGTAGATAGGGTGGTCCCCTCAGTCAGGATGGTCCCCTTAGTCAGGGTGGTCCCCTCAGTCAGGGTGATCCCCTCAGTGAGGATGGTCCCCTCAGTAGATAGGGTGGTCCCCTCAGTCAGGATGGTCCCCTTAGTCAGGGTGGTCCCCTCAGTCAGGGTGGTCCCCTCAGTGAGGATGGTCCCCTCAGTAGATAGGGTGGTCCCCTCAGTCAGGGTGGTCCCCTCAGTGAGGATGGTCCCCTCAGTAGATAGGGTGGTCCCCTTAGTCAGGGTGGTCCCCTCAGTCAGGGTGGTCCCCTCAGTGAGGATGGTCCCCTCAGTAGATAGGGTGGTCCCCTCAGTCAGGATGGTCCCCTTAGTCAGGGTGGTCCCCTTAGTCAGGGTGGTCCCCTCAGTCAGGGTGGTCCCCTCAGTCAGGGTGGTCCCGTCAGTCGGGTTGGTCCCCTTAGTCAGGGTGGTCCCCTCAGTCAGGATGGTCCCCTTAGTCAGGGTGGTCCCCTTAGTCAGGGTGGTCCCCTCAGTCAGGGTGGTCCCCTCAGTCGGGTTGGTCCCCTTAGTCAGGGTGGTCCCCTCAGCCAGGGTGGTCCCCTCTGTCAGGGTGGTCCCCTCAGTCAGGGTGGTCCCCTCAGTCGGGTTGGTCCCCTTAGTCAGGGTGGTCCCCTCAGCCAGGGTGGTCCCCTCTGTCAGGGTGGTCTCCTCAGTTAGGGTGGTCCCCTTAGTAGTCAGGGTGGCCCCCTTAGTAGTCAGGGTGGTCCCCTCAGTCAGGGTGGTCCCTTTAGTCAGGGTGGTCCCCTCGGTAGTGAGGGTGGTCCCCTCAGTCAGGGTGGTCCCCTCGGTAGTGAGGGTGGTCCCCTCAGTAGACAGGGTCTACTGGTTGAGGGTTGACTCCCCACATCAACCTGGTCTCTGTCAGTGGGTCTCAGCAAAGTGGTCACCCTCAGGAATCTGCATGACTTTGAACCCCGAGATATGAATGAGATGCTGTTCAACAAGGCGTAAAACCGTACTCACTTCAGCAAAACTTTACCGATCTCAATGTGAGGGAGTGAGTGAGTTGGGTTTTACGTCACTTTTAGCAATATTCCAGCAATATCACAGTGAGGGACACCAGAAATGGGCTTCACACGCTGTACCCATGAGGGAAATCGACACTAGTATTGGCATGAAGAGTGAAGGCTTTAACCACTAGGCTACTCCGCAGCCTCAACTGATCTTAGAGTGTCAGTTTGGGCAAATGTCATCACATCATGTGACTGATTATATCACCATTATGTAGATACATTGTATGTGGTCTCCCATCGCAGGCATCTCCTCCGACTGACCTGGATGTCTGCTTGATCGGGATCCAGCCCTTCATCGGTACCCGCGATCTCACCATGACTAACGATCACCTGATTCTTCTGACTAAAGTAGAGGACCCTCACAGGTAAGAATACCCCAGAGTTACCAATATATACTACTCAAAAGAAGTTAAGGATCACCTGATCCTTCTGACTAAAGCAGAGGACCCTCACAGGTAGGAATACCCCAGAGAGTTACCAATATATACTACTCAAAAGAAGTTAAGGATCACCTGATTCTTTCATATTACTATAGTTTATCTCTCATGCCATGACAGATTAACTTTACCATTATAAAAGAATTGGGTGATCCTTAACTTCTTTTGAGTAGTATACATGTTTCTAACAAGGCTGATAAAAAACACAGTAAGTTGTTATACAGTGTAAACAGTTGTTGGGCGATCAGCGTCCGCGTCCCCTGTCTGATGTTGGTGGTGACTGTTACAGCGAGGACATGATGTGGAGCCTGTACGCCCTGCAGATGTGTCCTGCCGCGGAGCTGTACCGAGATATGGTGAGTTGATGAGGCAGTCCATTTATCTGATGTCCGTCTGTCCTTGTGTCCTTCTGATGTCTAAATCATGCCCTTATGTTATTTAAAACTCCATCCCAACCTCACCCCAAATCCTAACCTCATATTTAATCCAAATGCCATCCTAACCTCCTCCTAAATTCTTCCCCATTTCAACTTCATCCTAAATCCTAACCCCATCCTAACCTCATCCTAAATCCTAACCCCATCCTAACCTCACCCCAGATCTTAACCTCATCCAAACCTCATCCTAAATCCTAACCCTCTCCTAGCCTTATTATAAATCCTAACCTCATCCTAACCTTATCCTAAATCCTAACCCCATCCTAAATCCTAAATCCTAACCCCATCCTAACCTCACCCCAGATCTTAACCTCATCCAAACCTCATCCTAAATCCTAACCCTCTCCGAACCTTATTATAAATCCTAACCCCATCCTAAATCCTAAATCCTAACCCCATCCTAAATCCTAAATCCTAACCCCATCCTTACCTCACCCCAGACCCGTGAAGATCCGGGATAGAATTGGTCTTCAGCAACCCATGCTTGCCGTAAAAGGCGACTAACGGGATCGGATGGTCAGGCTCGCTGACTTGGTTGATGCATGCCATCGGTCCCAATTGCGTGGATCGATGCTCATGATATTAATCACTGGATTGTCTGGCCCAGACTCGATTATTTACAGACCGCTGTCATATAGCTGGAACATTGCGGAGTGTGGCATTAAACAACAAACCAACCAACCAACCTAACATCACCCTAAATCCTAACCCCATCCTAAATCCTAAATTCTAAACCCATCCTAAATCCTTACCCCATCCTAACCTCATGATAAATGCTAATCTGTGTATCTCGTAGGCTGTTCGTAGTTTTTGTTACTGTGGTTCAAGTCATGTCTGTGAGAGAGTTGGGACTGTGGTTCAAGTCATGTCTGTGAGAGAGTTGGGACTGTGGTTCAAGTCATGTCTGTGAGAGAGTTGGGACTGTGAGAGAGTTGGGACTGTGAGAGAGTTGGGACTGTGGTTCAAGTCATGTCTGTGAGAGAGTTGGGACTGTGGTTCAAGTCAATGTCTGTGAGAGAGTTGGGACTGTGAGAGAGTTGGGACTATGAGAGAGTTGGGACCGTGAGAGAGTTGGGACTGTGAGAGAGTTGGGACTGTGGTTCAAGTCATGTCTGTGAGAGAGTTGGGACTGTGGTTCAAGTCAATGTCTGTGAGAGAGTTGGGACTGTGAGAGAGTTGGGACTGTGAGAGAGTTGGGACTGTGGTTGAAGTCATGTCTGTGAGAGAGTTGGGACTGTGGTTCAAGTCAATGTCTGTGAGAGAGTTGGGACTGTGGTTCAAGTCAATGTCTGTGAGAGAGTTGGGACTGTGAGAGAGTTGGGACTGTGGTTCAAGTCATGTCTGTGAGAGAGTTGGGACTGTGAGAGAGTTGGGACTGTGGTTGAAGTCATGTCTGTGAGAGAGTTGGGACTGTGGTTGAAGTCATGTCTGTGAGAGAGTTGGGACTGTGGTTCAAGTCAATGTCTGTGAGAGAGTTGGGACTGTGAGAGAGTTGGGACTGTGAGAGAGTTGGGACTGTGAGAGAGTTGGGACTGTGGTTCAAGTCATGTCTGTGAGAGAGTTGGGACTGTGGTTCAAGTCATGTCTGTGAGAGAGTTGGGACTGTGAGAGAGTTGGGACTGTGAGAGAGTTGGGACTGTGGTTCAAGTCATGTCTGTGAGAGAGTTGGGACTGTGGTTCAAGTCAATGTCTGTGAGAGAGTTGGGACTGTGAGAGAGTTGGGACTGTGAGAGAGTTGGGACCGTGAGAGAGTTGGGCCTGTGAGAGAGTTGGGACTGTGGTTCAAGTCATGTATGTGAGAGAGTTGGGACTGTGGTTCAAGTCAATGTCTGTGAGAGAGTTGGGACTGTGAGAGAGTTGGGACTGTGAGAGAGTTGGGACTATGGTTCAAGTCATGTCTGTGAGAGAGTTGGGACTGTGGTTCAAGTCAATGTCTGTGAGAGAGTTGGGACTGTGGTTCAAGTCATGTCTGTGAGAGAGTTGGGACTGTGGTTCAAGTCATGTCTGTGAGAGAGTTGGGACTGTGAGAGAGTTGGGACTGTGAGAGAGTTGGGACTGTGGTTCAAGTCATGTCTGTGAGAGAGTTGGGACTGTGGTTCAAGTCAATGTCTGTGAGAGAGTTGGGACTGTGGCTCCATCCCATGGTGTATGTTCCAGGTGAGTTTCGGCTGCAAGGTGATGGAGACGGGCCCGTCCAGCTACCTCCACATGCTCCAGGAGGCCCACCTCCATGTGAAGAGGGAGATGATGTTCACCGGCAGCCCTGATGCTCTGGTGGAGGAGGACTTCCTCGAGTCCGCTGCGCTGCTGGGAGAGTTCTACTCCCTGTGAGTACAGCGCCACCTACATCGCCACCTACAGCGCCACCTACAGCCCTCAGTAATCTCAGTAATCCCATCTTCCCGGAGGGGGGAGGGGGAGGGGGAGGGGGAAGGGGTACCGATGGAGGGGTGCAGGGGAGGGTACCGATGGAGGGGTGCAGGGGAGGGGGAAGGGGTACCGTTGGAGGGGTGCAGGGGAGGGGGAAGGGGTACCGATGGAGGGGTGCAGGGATGACCTAAGTAGCCCATGGCGTCTATGCAATAATCGTGAACTCATTTCTCACCTTCTCACCTTTACAATTATCCTCATGATCATTGCCAGAAAGTTAGCTTGATTTGGATGCTTGACTATCTCCCTAGGTTAATTAGAAACGTGTTGAGAAATCAGTGATATTATTACCATAATGAATGTATTGATTGCTCTGTTCCTAGCTATCTGGGGGCACGGGTGGCCCAGTCTTCTAAGGCGCCGCGATTCGCTGTGCAGAGTTGCGTCCCTTGGGCACGCCAGAAACCTATGATTGTGGGTTCGAATCCCGGTTCGCCCCGATTATGTTTCTAGGTTTGTCAGCACCATACCCGTGCTCGTGGGTTTCACCGAAGTGGTAAACGTCTGAGACCTGCATCACTTCGGGCTTTCTTCCCACATTAAGCTGACATGCCGTGATATAACTGGAATACTGTTAAAAGCAGCGTTAAACCCAACTCACTCACTCACTCACTCCTAGCTATCCTCCCTATAGACCGAAGCGTCAGCCGAAATGGTCTTGATCGTGTGGTCAAGTAACTATCCAGATAGTGACGGATGTTAGCCATATAATCGCTCGCCGAGACTCGATTTGCATACATGCTGTTTGAATATTTGCGAACGTGACCTAAAACAACAAACAAGACTGACGGATGCTACGTATAATGCAGATACGTCCAGCTGTACAGCTTGATAAATGTTTAAGCTTTGGGAATTTAATATATGTTGTTTGTTTGTTGTTTAACACCACACTCCAGCAATATTTAGCTATAATAATGATGGCAGCCTATAGATAATCTAGTCATCAATCCCCTGATTGATTTCCTGAGCATCGATCCATGCCATCAGTGTAAGATAACACGCTATGAACAAAGCCTGACTACCCTATCCAATAAGTCGCCTCATGCGTCAATACGTTTGCTGGGGACCTATTCTAACCTGGAATCCTCCATATAATACAGTAAACTATGGTTATAATGAACTAACTACCACTACTTTTGTTTGTTTTAACCATAAGAGTGGCGGTTCGGTTGCCTTGTGGTTAAAGCGTTCGCTCGTCACACCGAAGACCCGGGTTCGATTCCCGACATGGGTACAATGTGTGAAGCCCATTTCTGGTGTCCCCCGCCGTGATATTGCTGGAATATTGCTAAAAGCGGCGTAAAACCAAACTCACTCACTGACTTTATCCATAAGTTGTTAACAGCATATATACAGCAAATGGCTGGGACAAATAAACATTTCGTTATATCTGTCTGTTCATTTTAAACGTAGTATGCTGTATATGGAAAATGTTTCAAGATTCATGGCAACGTATTTTTTGTCCTCAGGCCTAACGAGGAAGACTGGCGTTTGTGTTTGCCGTATTACGTCATGTCTAACTTAAGCCTGGACGACATCATCAGACAAGCTGTCCAACACAAGCTACACAAGAAAAAGGTGAGACCGTGGATTGGATGGGCGCAATATCAGTCAGTCGGCATATTCAGGATCTGAGGTAGAAAAGTGTTTGAGTGGGTGTTTTTACGCCGCTTTTAGCAATATTCCTGCAATATCACGGCGGGGACACCAGAAATGGGCTTCACTCATTGTACCCATGTGGGAATCAAACCCGGGTCTTCAGCATGCTGAGGGGCAGTCTGGTAGCCCAGTGGTTAAAGCATTCGCTCGTCATGCTGAAGACCCGGGTTCGATTCCCGACATGGGTACAATGTGTGAAGCCCACTTCTGGTGTCCCCCCGCCATGATATTGCTGGAATATTGCTAAAAGCGGCGTAAAACCACACTCACTCACTCACTCAGCATCCTGAACAATGCTTTAACAACTTGGCTACCTCAATGTTCCTGAAGGAGACGGTGTTCCTAATGGCCTGGCTGACAGAACAGGAACAAGTAATAACTGGAACATAGGCATGTTTTCAATATCTGAGTCAGACCCATCCTCGACACACAGGGGAATTATGCACCATGTAGTTCCTCATACTGCCCTGGGATACCTCTCATCATAGAGAATGTGCGCTGCCAAAGTGACAGCCAAAGAGTGATACATTCTAGACTTTTCTAGTTTATTCTTTCTCAGTTTTTTTACGTAAAACACCCTGGACCCATTCGCCACCATAGCTATGTTCATGAGGATTTGGAAGTGGTGTTACAAGCTCTCTCATAACTGATCAAGCACAGAATTTATTTCGCTTGTGATTGTACATTTATTGGACGGCAATAATCAGTAACATGTAAATAAAATCGAGTTCAAGATTAAGACAACAAATCTCTGACAACAAATTTAAAACTTGTATGTTTATAATAAGTGCCCCTTTGGTATTATATTTGGTTCTGGTAACAATGAAGTCTCCCTTCTTCCCAGGGTTCCCACTTCACGTACGGCAGGGGCCTCCTGTACTACCTCAACTACATCCTGTTCCTGGACGACGACCCCGTGGACATCAAGGAGGTGAGTGAGTGAGTGAGTGAGTTGGGTTAAACGCCGCTTTTAAAAGTATTACAGTTATATCGCGGCGTGTCAGCTTAATGTGGGAGGAAAGCCCAAAGTGATGCAGGTCTCAGACGTTTACCACTTCGGTGAAACCCACGAGCACGGGTATGGTGCTGACAAACCTAGAAACCTAATCGGGACATCAAGGAGGTGAGCAGGGGCACTTAGTGGAGCATCTCTTGAGTCAAGGGAGTTAACTGACTGTAAAAGTCCAGTTTCCACCCTTGCCGAACTAGACCCGTGAAGATTCCGGGGTAGAATAGGTCTGCAGCAACCCATGTAAAAGGCGACTATGCTTGTCCTAAAAGGCGACTAACGGGATCGGGTGGTCAGGCTCGCTGTCATCGGTCCCAATTGCGTTGATCGATGATATCAATCACGGGATTGTCTGGTCCAACCAACCTTGCCAAGGTAGTCTGGTATTATGGAGTTATATTTTGGCTGGACTAAGGAGTCTGTGCATAGTCCAATCAAAATTGCGTAAGGAACTAGACATCCGGTTTGTAAACAACATGGATTTCAAGGTGCAGATTTCAGTTGACTGCAGGATTTGTCAAAAGATGTGTACAGTCAACTGGGCACATATTTTCCAAATTTCATCCTTTTTCATCAAACTGCTCACGTGATTTGATGGCCACTGCTGGCCCTACGATTGAGACCAGAAATTCCAGTCTAGTTTGGCAAGGGTGGAAATTGGACTAAGGTCAGTTAACTATCTTGCCTCGGGAAGATGGCAGTGCGGTTCATTCTGCTTTGTTTTGTTTGTTTTCTGCCCAGAGAGCAGACGATCGGGGCTTTGTTCCCCTGTCTGCATCAAACCTAAAGATGATAAAAGATGGTACTTGTTGTTGCCTTGCCAGCGTTAGCTTGATAACACAAGGACTGGTCGGCTCGGAGTCAGTATACTGTGTCTGAGTGGGGTATACATGTTAAACTGTGGCATGGTATCTCAGTGGGCTAAAACAAGTTCAGTATACTGTGTCTGAGTGGGGTATCCATGTTAAACTGCGGCATGGTATCTCAGTGGGCTAAAACAAGTTCAGTATACTGTGTCTGAGTGGGGTATTCATGTTAAACTGTGGCATGGTATCTCAGTGGGCTAAAACAAGTTCAGTATACTGTGTCTGAGTGGGGTATCCATGTTAAACTGCGGCATGGTATCTCAGTGGGCTAAAACAAGTTCAGTATACTGTGTCTGAGTTGGGTATTCATGTTAAACTGTGGCATGGTATCTCAGTGCTACCAGGACTGGCCCTTCTGTTCATCTGTCCAGCACTCCTAAAGGAGTTAGAACCTTGACCATAACATGCAAACCGATATTATCGCCACCCTAAAATAAACAGATACATTGTATACATTTGTTTGTTATGAAGAGAATAATACCTTTGATATGATTTATCCTGGATCATAACATGGAGACGGTTACATTTGTATGTAGAGAAATACATGTTCATGCTGTCAGATTTGCCATCCACCCATTTAAAATGCTGACAGAGTCAAAATTACGAAATATTTGCAGTATTATATACATGTACAATGCAAATGTAGATTTTGTCATGACTGCGTAAATATCCAGGTGGGCCTCTTGTATTTTTTCCATTTCCATGGCAACAAGTTTTGACAAGTCCATATTAGGGGTACCTGACATAACATACACAGTTCCGAATCCCAATTCCATGGTATTGTTTTGATAGCTCAATAACTACTCACGTATGCAGACAGACAGATTTATGGAAATTCTCTCATCAAGTAACTCAGGTGACGGGGATTTGTCATCTTCTGATGACTCTTCTTAATAATAAGGGATGGGTCTGCATGTTTCTTTAGTGTGTAATGCAAACACGTTTCAGATAGGTCTTTATTCTCCACAGCTGAGAAACTGAGCTTCCAAGGGAGATGTCTAGTGAGAGAAATCGTGACAATAGTGGCGTCTTTGATTACCATGATGTCGCACTCAAATAGACCCGTGAAGATCCGGGGTAGATTAGGTCTTCAGCAACCCATGCTTGTCCCCGTGAAGATCCGGGGTAGAATAGGTCTTCAGCAACCCATGCTTGTCCCCTTGAAGATCCGGGGTAGAATAGGTCTTCAGCAACCCATGCTTGTCATAACAGGCGACTAACGGGATCGGGTGGACAGGCTTGCTGACTTGGTTGATGCATGCTCTCGATCCCAATTGCGTGGATCGATGCTAATGATGTCAATCACTGGATTGTCTGGTCCAGACTCGATTATTTACAGACCGCCGTCATGTCGTGGGAATATTTCTGAGTGCGTCGTTCCAAACAAACAAAGAAACACTCAAATGACACTGTCTGCCATTGTAGCTGTGCTATTGAATGGTCAAAAGGTGACAAAAACGTCACTGATAAAAGTTAAAATATCCTCTCCAATTCTAGGATATATGTAACTTTTATCCACCTGTCTTGATAATTTTGATCTTGGAAGACGCTTGGGTGAGATTCTCCACATAGAAATGACCATGATATGTGACCAAAGTGGGATGAAGTGTGAGACTACGTTCCTTGTATGTTCCTTGTATGTTCCCTGTATGTTCCTTGTATGTTCCTTGTATGTTCCCTGTATGTTCCCTGTATGTTCCTTGTATGTTCCCTGTATGTTCCCTGTATGTTCCCTGTATGTTCCTTGTGTTCCCTGTATGTTCCCTGTATGTTCCCTGTATGCTCCCTGTATGTTCCCTGTATGTTCCTTGTATGTTCCCTGTATGTTCCCTGTATGTTCCTTGTATGTTCCCTGTATGCTCCCTGTATGTTCCCTGTATGTTCCCTGTATGTTCCTTGTATGTTCCCTGTATGTTCCCTGTATGTTCCCTGTATGCTCCCTGTATGCTCCCTGTATGTTCCTTGTATGTTCCCTGTATGCTCCCTGTATGTTCCCTGTATGTTCCCTGTATGTTCCCTGTATGTTCCCTGTATGTTCCTTGTGTTCCCTGTATGTTCCCTGTATGTTCCCTGTATGTTCCCTGTATGTTCCCTGTATGTTCCCTGTATGTTCCCTGTATGTTCCCTGTATGTTCCCTGTATGCTCCCTGTATGTTCCCTGTATGTTCCCTGTATGTTCCCTGTATGTTCCCTGTATGCTCCCTGTATGTTCCATGTATGTTCCCTGTATGCTCCCTGTATGTTCCCTGTATGTTCCTTGTATGTTCCCTGTATGTTCTCTGTATGTTCCTTGTATGTTCCCTGTATGCTCCCTGTATGCTCCCTGTATGTTCCCTGTATGTTCCCTGTTCCAGAGCTGTGGGGACGAGGTGCTACACATCTACCATGAGACAGAGCCGGAGCGACTCTCACACATCCTGCTCATCTCCCGTCTTCAAACATTCAGTCCAGGTGATGATGCAATGGTTGTACCGATGGGTACCCGGAAGTGTATGGGGGAATAACAACTTGTAGCCTCTGGTATTGATCTTATTGGTATGCTGGTATTATTCGTATCTGACAGGACAGTGGTTGTACCGATGGGTACCCGGAAGTGTATGGGGGAATAACAACTTGTAGCCTCTGGTATTGATCTTATTGGTATGCTGGTATTATTCGTATCTGACAGGACAGTGGTTGTACAGATGGGTACCCGGAAGTATAGGGGGAATAACAACTCGTAGCCTCTGGTATTGATCTTATTGGTATGCTGGTATTATTCGTATCTGACAGGACAGTGGTTGTACAGATGGGTACCCGGAAGTATAGGGGGGAATAACAACTCGTAGCCTCTGGTATTGATCTTATTGGTATGCTGGTATTATTCGTATCTGACAGGACAGTGGTTGTACCGATGGGTACCCGGAAGTGTATGGGGGAATAACAACTCGTAGCCTCTGGTATTGATCTTATTGGCATGCTGGTATTATTCGTATCTGACAAGGACAGTGGTTGTACAGATGGGTACCCGGAAGTATGGGGGGAATAACAACTTGTAGCCTCTGGTATTGATCTTATTGGTATGCTGGTATTATTCGTATCTGACAGGACAGTGGTTGTACCGATGGGTACCCGGAAGTGTATGGGGGAATAACAACTCGTAGCCTCTGGTATTGATCTTAGTGGCATGCTGGTATTATTCGTATCTGACAAGGACAGTGGTTGTACAGATGGGTACCCGGAAGTATAGGGGGGAATAACAACTTGTAGCCTCTGGTATTGATCTTATTGGTATGCTGGTATTATTTGTATCTGACAGGACAGTGGTTGTACCGATGGGTACCCGGAAGTGTATGGGGGAATAACAACTCGTAGCCTCTGGTATTGATCTTATTGGCATGCTGGTATTATTCGTATCTGACAAGGACAGTGGTTGTACAGATGGGTACCCGGAAGTATGGGGGGAATAACAACTTGTAGCCTCTGGTATTGATCTTATTGGTATGCTGGTATTATTCGTATCTGACAGGACAGTGGTTGTACCGATGGGTACCCGGAAGTGTATGGGGGAATAACAACTCGTAGCCTCTGGTATTGATCTTATTGGCATGCTGGTATTATTCGTATCTGACAGGACAGTGGTGAGACAGGGAAAACAGAAAGTTGGGGCTCTGACAGGTACGTGAGTACTCAAGTACCAAGTCGGTTTAGATGGACTCCGACTTACTATGTTAAAGACTTGAGAACCTGGTCAAGGGAGATAACTCACATCTTATTTTCTCTAACATGAGTTGCAGACAAGGAAGAGAAACGATAAAATGTCCGGAGTTTTTGACTCAGCTAAAATAAACAAAAAGTCGATTATGTGGCATAGTACGACTGAATCCACCATGCCCAGAGTACCATTTTTTAGATTTCAGACCATGCTTTCTCAGCCCAGAAGTGCAAGGGGTGCACAGGTTGGTATCTGTTTAAAGGGTACCAGTAAGTGGGAATTCATAACAAGAACATATCTTTCAACAGAAACTGCGATGGATTTATTGAAGAAATGGATGGAGCACAACAGACAACGAGAAGAGAATGCAAGGTGAATCTTTTGTATTACTGCTGTAATAACAGACAAGACATTCTACAGTCCGTTTGACTCCAAATGAGAACGATGAATTGCAAAATAACTCGAAATCCAGAAAAGTCAAGTACATCAATACAGTACTTGACCATGAATACCCTGTACCGAACAAAATCTGTGGTCAGGTAGTCCTATCTGGTCCTATCTGGTTCTTGATGAATCCTTGATGACTCTGTCTAACTCTAGTCCCATGTAGGTTACACACAACCAAATGTTTTCCCATAGACTTCTATAGTAACGTTATATTTTTTTTAAAAATAACTAAGCATTCAAGAGCTATTACCTGTACATGTGTGCACAGTTTGGCCTTAGAGCAGCAATAAAAAAATAAAAAATGACTAGCTTAGCCAGCTCCTTTCCCGAGTACAGGAAGCTAAACACACCACCCCCAGTTTCGCACCAAATGTCACCTACTTGAAAATAGCTGTGCTCACATTCAGCATAAGTCATCATGTTGAAAAAGACAGTACTAAATAAAGAAAAGCATGGTCAGTTTTAATAACTGGATGGATGTACATTTGAAAGACATAAAAATCTTACAGAATATCCTCCAATCACAGCCTGCAGATATCTCTCGATCTGCACTGAAGGCTCCCTATGAAAACCGCACTGTCCAAACTGGTTCTGATTTGGTGTAGTAGAACCTTTAGCAGCACATTAGTGTTTCATTGTTTATAGCAATGTTACATCAGAATGTTATTACGTTACCCGTAAAGATCCGGAGTTGCATAGATCTTCAGCCTCCCATACTTGCCGTAAAAGGCCAGTATGCTTGTAAGAGGATACCAACAGGATCGGGTGGTTTTGGTTGATGCATGTATTCGATCCCAATCGTGTGGATTGATGCTGATATCAATCACTGGATTGTCTTGTGCAGACTCAATTATTTACAGACTGCTGCCGTATAGCTGGAATATTGCTGAGTGCGGCGTTAAACAACAAATCAACAAACAAACAAATGTTCTGACCAACTGTTGACAGTGACTTTGACCTCCTGGCCGTTGTGAAACTGAACCTGAGTCTGGTGGACCCGGAGACGGCCAGTACCGCTCTCCTGGCAATCCCGGAGGTGAGCTACACACCCATTGTCTTTCCCACAGTTTCTGAATCAGCCAACATTGATACAACAAGACCAGATTCTTTTATTTTATGGTTTACTGATTTTTTTAACCATTTTGGGTTGGGGGAAATAAATAATTTGTGAAGCTGAATAAATGTTTTATGTAGTTTTGCATGACGTTTTTGGGATGGTCATTTTTGTGAACAAAATACATGCTAGTACTTTTTACAGCACAGAATTTTATGCTTGTCATAGGAGGCGACTAACAATATTGGGTGGTCAGGCTTTCTGACTTGGTTGAAGCATGTCATCGTATCCCAATTGCTCATGATGTCAATCCCTGGATTGTCTGGTCCAGACTTGATTATTTACAGACCGCCATCATAAAGCTGGAATATTGCTGAGTGTGGCATTAAACAAACAAAACAAACAAACACAGAATGTTCCATATTTATGTATTTACTCCTGAAATGGCTTTGCTCTCTTTGCAAGCCAGAGATCACAATATATGATTTGTGATCAATTATTACTATATGGGTTGTTAGTTATTAATTTGACTTAAATGTAGTATATGTATCATTATGTATAAAACTGGCAATTTCAATCTTTGAATCATTTGAAAACAAGAGATGAAATTTCACTTTCTGTTTTTTTTCAGCGAAGCTTGATTCTCATATGTGGGGTACACCCAAGCCTGGTTCACAAGGACTTTACAGAGTTCACTCCCCTTGCTCAGGTTTGTGCAAATGTTGGCCAACATGGCTTCTGTGCTTCCTTGTTGTTAATGGTATCAGGACGGCAACAATCACACACTGTAACTACACACTGTAACTACACACTGTTAGTACACACTGTAACTACACACTGTAACTACACACTGTTAGTACACACTGTTACTACACACTGTAACTACACACTGTTACTACACACTGTAACTACACACTGTAATATACTATTACTACACACTGTAACTACACAGTTACTACACACTGTTACACACTAACTACACACTGTAACTACACACTGTAACTACACACTGTTACTACACACTGTTACTACACACTGTAATATACTGTAACTACACACTGTTACTACACACTGTAACTACACACTGTTACTACACACTGTAACTACACACTGTTACTACACACTGTAACTACACACTGTAATATACTATTACTACACACTGTAACTACACAGTTACTACACACTGTTACTACACACTGTAATACACTGTAACTACACACTGTAACTACACTGTAACACTGTAACTACACACTGTAATACACTGTAACTACACACTGTAACTACACACTGTAACACTGTAACTACACACTGTAATACACTGTAACTACACACTGTAACTACACACTAAAACACACTGTAATTACACACTGTAACACTCACTACACACTAACTACACACTGTAACTACACACTGTAACTATACACTAAAACACACTGTAACTACACACTGTAACTACACACTGTAACTACACACTGTAATACACTGTAACTACACACTGTAACTACACACTGTAACTACACACTGTAACACTGTAACTACACACTGTAATACACTGTAACTACACACTGTAACTATACACTAAAACACACTGTAATTACACACTGTAACACTCACTACACACTAACTACACACTGTAACACTGTAACTACACACTGTAATACACTGTAACTACACACTGTAACTATTCACTAAAACACACTGTAATTACACACTGTAACACTCACTACACACTAACTACACACTGTAACACTGTAACTACACACTGTAACTACACACTGTAACACTGTAACTACACACTGTAACTACACACTGTAACACTGTTACTATACACTGAAACACTGTAACTACACACTGTAACTACACACTAACACTGTAACTACACAGTGAAACACTGTAACTACACACTGTAACTATGCACTGTTACACACTGTAACTACACACTGTAACTATACACTGTAACTACACACTGTTACACACTGTAACTACACACTGTTACACACTGTAACTACACACTGTTACACATGTTACTACTCACGGTAACACACTGTAACTACACACTGTAACTACCAAATGAAACTACACACTGTAACTACACACTGTAACACACTGTTACTTCACCCTGTAACTACACACTGTAACTACATGCTGTAACACGTTACTACACACGGTAACACACTGTAACTACACACTGAAACACACTGTAACTACACTGAAACTACACACTGTAACTTCACACTGTAACACTGTAACTACACACTGTAACACATCAACTTGTAACAGTCTTCATCCTCTGTCATCACTTGTCACTCTGTTGTTTTTGTTCATATCTGTGTCTTCAGCGGTAGCAAGAACTTGTAACTGACTTTAATAAGATTAAGGTAATCTAAGCATGTGATTAATCCTGCTTTGTTTATTTCAAGCATTAATTGTGTATTGTCAAGTTTATCTCTTACGCCATTGTAATATGCAGCTACTAGCCGACTCGTCTCGCATCAAAACACAGGGCTGTGTACTCATGGGTAGATGACCACGGAGTACGCTGATCATTGTGTGGGATTACCAAGAGTGATTAATGAGTAATTTCGGTAATTCGATGCAAATTAGGTGTGTCGGAGTCCAGAGTGCGAGAATGTCGGATTAACGGGTCTAAATAGCACTGATTTAATCAGTTCCCGTCATTAGTGTCGGATAAAGCTGATTATCGGATTAACAAGTGTTGGATTAACGAGTGTCGGATTAATGAGACTTGACTGCATACATAATCTTACCTTTGAGTGGGTACTGAGTAGGACCCGGGTACCCACAGGACTACCTCGACCCACGGTTAATCATGTGATATATTGTTTAATGACAAAAATTATTTAGGTGAGGTGAAATGGGGTTTAACGTCGCCCAAGATTATTGCACTTATATAGTGACGTGCATGCACGTGTGTGTGTGTGTGGCTGCTTGTACTGGTCGGGACTGATGCTTATTTATAGTGCTAGCCCACTGAGGTGAAGTGAGCTGAAATGGGGTTCAACGTCACGTCCAAGATTATTGCACTTATATAGCGACGTGCATGTACGTGTGTGTGTGTGTGTGGCTGCTTGTACTCGTCCGGACTGATGCTGATTTATAGTGCTAGCCCACTGAGATACCATGCCACAGTTTAACATGAATACCCCACTCAGACACAGTATACTGACTCCGAGCCAACCAGTCCTTGTTTTCCGCCCTTAATGGCGAGCGCCAGACAGGGTAACAACAAGTACCATCTTTTAACGTCTTTTGGTATGACGCAGCCGGGGATCGAACTCCGGACCTTCCGCTCTCAAGGCTGATGCTCTATCACTAGACCACGGAGGCGGTCTAAAACCTATCTAGAACTCTACGGTTACACTATAAGTGACTAATGTTTGCATTCATAGGTTTGCATAAAGATAAAACTTCAGTTTATGCATGACCAGATTGGTTTATACGAGTATCAAAATACATTTTGCCAGGGCTATGGTCAAACTATTCCCAATCGGACATTTGGACCTATCTCTTGAGACCTGTAGCGGGTACCCGGGTAGGGTTGGGTAACAGGGGGTAGGTACCCGGGTAGTAAATTTGGACTCGTCCCAGCCATACTGTACTGAGACAGCGCATTGATAGAATACAGAAGTTAAGATTCATTAGTCAAGTCTGTCTGTCTTCAATAGTGAAACAGGGGGCACGGGTGGCCCAGTCGTCTAAGGCGCCGCGATCTGTGCAGAGTTGCGTCCCTTGGGCACGCCAGAAACCTATGATTGTGGGTTGGAATCCCGGTTCGCCCCGATTATGTTTCTAGGTTTGTCAGCACCATACCCGTGCTCGTGGGTTTCACCGAAGTGGTAAACGTCTGAGACCTGCATCACTTCGGGCTTTCCTCCCACATTAAGCTGACATGCCGCGATATGACTGGAATACTGTTAAAAGCGGCGTTAAACCCAACTCACTCACTCACTCACTCAATAGTGAAACAGAAGCTCAATATTTCCAGCTGATGCGACAACATCGCCCAAGCACATTCCTTCACCTGCTGGTTGAGTTGTTTGACAGAGGTGTTTTGACACTGGACTCCAGCCTTAAACTGCTACAGGTAGGTCACATTGTGAAGGTGTCTGGTATTGACAGGTTAGTGTGTAGGAAGGTAACCATGACTTATAATGCTACAGGTAGGTCACATTGTGAAGGTGTCTGGTATTGACAGGTTGGTGTGTATGAAGATAACCATGACTTATAATGCTACAGGTAGGTCACATTGTGAAGGTGTCTGGTATTGACAGGTTGGTGTGTATGAAGGTTACCATGACTTATAATGCTCCAGGTAGGTGATATTGTAGAGGTGTCTGGTATTGACAGGTTAGTCTGTACAAAGGAAACTGTGACTTAACATACTACAGGTATTGAGAGGTATTGGATTCTATTCTATCATTATTAGAGTCATCGTATTATAAGTACAGGTAATTATTTTTAAATCTTGTACATTTCATCATCACCCTTAAAGAGGCTGTACATAATGTTGATATCTCATATAAAAAATAAATGACTTGTGGTTGTTGTTTATCGCTCCTCATGGCTTATTCTCCCTGCAGTGTTTATTGTACGATAAACAAACTTCAACCCCCATTCATTGTTTATTTCTTACATATGTAGCATTTTATCTGAGTCCTAAAGGATGAGGCATAATATATGTTTTTTTGTCCCAATGGCTTAACGCTGAAAATAACTAAATGAAAGCTGTTTGAGTTGATAAGATAGCATTTGTTTTTTAAAAACTTGATTAACATAATAGAGTCACAGATATACCACACAACATGATTATCAGGCCAGGTATTCAATAAAAGAAGCTTTAAACTGGGTTTACAGGTTGGAGGCTGTGTAATATATATTATGAATTGAGTCACGAGAATACAGAGAGCAATACAGATTCATTTTACTTCTACAACTTCAAAAAAAATTCATAATAATATTCATAATAATATGAGTTCTTCACAGAATGACGAAGGCAAGGATATGTCCACCAACACCCACATCAGGGAATACCTGGAGATCCTCGTTACAGGTGAGTCTTCTCTCTTCCTTCGCTGGAAGCAGAGAGCCTGAGGTGAGTGCACCTGCTTGTTATGCATGAGATCTGAGTTTTATTCCAGCCATAAACAGCCACAAACAGATTCTTCCATAGCTTCTACTGAAATTAGGGGCGGTCGGGTAGCCTAGTGGTTAAAGCGTTCGCTCATCATGCCAAAGACCAGGGTTCGATTCCCGACATGTGTACAATGTGTGAAGCCCATTTCTGGTGTCCCCCGCCGTGATATTGCTGGAATATTGCTAAAAGCGGCATAAAACTATATTCACTCACTCACTCATAATACAATTTCTATTCCTAAGGCTAAAAAAGATAATAGTCTTGTTTCTCACGCACCACTGCATCATCATAAAGCCTGCAGCATGTTTCGTTTTTAGTTCCGTTTTATTTTTATTTTTTAAATCCTAATACCAAAAAACAATGTGTTCCAGTATAGCACGCAGTTACTTCCCTTAACATATGCACTGCTTTACTGCACAACTCTGGTTATTATCCCCCGCCCCATGCTGAACTGGTGCCTCTTGCTATTTAGGAATTTTAGAAATTTTTATTTTTCACGTTTCCTCGGCAATAAGTTGGACATAGGTTCTACAGGGGTGGTGTTCGTTTCCAGAGCGTAACTCAAAAAACGTTAAATACTTTCTTACAAAACTTTGCATGTCTACCAGGCACATACTGAACTGGTGCCTTTTTATACATAGCACTTTTAGACATTTTTATTTTTGTTTATGTTTCCATGACAACAAGTTGGATTTAAGTTTTAATATAGGATTGGTTTACTTAAGGAGTATAACAAATAAACTGTTTAATATTTCCTTGCCACACATTGCATGTCTATATATAAAGCACATACTGAACTAGTGCCATTTGATATTAAGGTGTTTTAGAAATGTTTATTTTAGAATTTCCATTGCAGCTATTTTGATGTGGGCTTAGAGAAATGTTGGGTCAGTTACCTGGTTTGGGACAAAAACGTGTTGAAATGGGCGGGGGATATAGATGACTTTGTCAACTATACGCTTGTTGTCATGGCGACAATAGGAGTTTGTATGCTTGTTTATGTAGGCAGGTCCTTTCCTAGGTTGATAGTATACAAGTGGTTACAAACTAGTTTGAACAAGAAAAAATCTACCTCCTGCCCGTACTATATTTTCAAAAGTCCTTGCCTGATTACCGATTCTTATCTTTTTTTAAGCCTAATATGGGTATATCTAGGATATGGAAACACTCGTGGCTATAATTTCTATTTCTCCTGTTTTTAGATTGGAAGAGAAAGTACATATTTGAAGATGCTGTGGTGAGATATTAAGTTGTCACAAATCTATCTTTTGTCAAAATACAAATTATACTTTAAAATGTGTAAACACACATGAACACCACACGTTCACATGCGCCTCTATACATGTGTGTGTATATGTGCATATGTGTGTAGAAATACATATGTGAGTATACTTGTCATGTGAACGCGTTTACTCACGTGTGTATATTTACACCAGTAGCAAATTTGCAAATGTAAATTTGCACCATGTTTATATGTTGCAATGTGAACGTTTATGTTAACATAACAGAATGATCTAATTGATATCTGTTCTTTTGCCAACACCAAACAAATTGTCAACAGTTGCCAACTTTTATGTGTATATACAGAGTTGAGCGGATGCTGTTTTCTTTTGGTTTCAAGGAGTCAAAACTTTGTGTACAAATTAAATCAAACACATGTTGCTTCACTCGAAAATCATGCGAAGTAACTCTCTTCTCATTCAACTTTGATTGGAAAACAACCTCTTTTGTGTTGAATTTCATAAACAGACTGACGAATGTGTGTGCCTTACACAATTTACATACTTTATTTACACACCTAAGTTGATTTTCATGTGAACGCCATTTTGTTTAAAGCAAATGCAAGTGATACGAGAGGTGGAATCTGATTGGTCCATAGGAGAAGCTTAGAAGGGACATAACTGGTAATAGCAACTGGTGGCGCTACGATCGAGCCCAGTAATTCCAGCCTAGTTAGGCAAGGGTGGAAACTGGACTTTTAAAGTCAGTTAACTCCCTTGGCTCAGGAAGATGTCTCATACCTGGATGGGTCACTGTTTAAAGTAGGAACAGATAGATAACCTGCCCACATGATCTGAAACCAGGAAGTAAACAATGTGTTAACCCTCACAGTTCTTGTACTATAAAACAAGAGAAGTGACTGCTGAAGACAAATGATTGCTCTCTTAGTTCTCTCCTCTAACTGAATGGTTCCACTTGTTACAGAGCATGCTGAGTGAGATGTACATCAAGCGTACCATCAGCAAGATACTACCCTCCTCACGACAACTTCTCCTTCCTCACCAGTTCAGGATGGTCAGTACACGTCAACGTGACGCATCGTCATTACACTGAGATTCCCCCAGCAAACAGATAAATAAATAACAATAAGGCACCTACTTTTAAGGCCTATTTTAAGAATGACATATGACGAAGAGATTATTACACGCTGGTTTCCATTAGGGCTGGGACGGGTAACTCGGGTGCCTGGGTCGGGTGGGTACTGAGTAGGACCCGGGTACCCACAGGACTACCCAGACCCGTGGTTGGTCATGTGATATATTGTTAAATGACAAAAAATATCTAAAACTCTATGGTTACACTACAAGTCACAAATGTTCGCATTTCTTTCTGACAATGCACCCATTTCTTCTGACTTTTCACATCGTTGAATAAAGATTTTACTTGAGTCAACTTCAGTGTACGCATGACCAGATTGTTTTATACATGTATCTAAATACGTTTTGCCAGTGCTATGGTAAAAAAATGCCCAATCAAATATTTTGTACCTATCTCTTGAGACCTACAGTGGGTAGCCGGGTAGGGGCGGGTAATAAGGGGTGGGTATCCGGGTAGTAAATTCAGGCTCGTCCCAGCCCTAGTTTCCATATAGTACCATACACTTTTTTACCTTATATCAGTGTTCGAAATACCTGCCTGCCCGACCGTCTGAGACGGGTTGATTTCAACTCGGGCTGCCAGATTTTCAAATCCCCCTGCCCGACGGTCGGGTTATATTTCATATGTGAAAATATTCTAAATATTTCCTGATGATAAGCATTAATTCACATGTAAAGATGAATGTTAAAATGTAACCAAAAAGAAACCCTGTTAGCTTATCCTGAGAAACATATGGGCAGGCAGGTTTTGGTCAGGGCTGGCAAGTATTTCAGCTAGCCAGTCCTGTGGTCTGGCTGAAATTTTTGGGAGTTTCATACCCTGCTTATATAGGAGATTTTCGAATATGCTCAGCTATTATCTCTATTTCCTGTTGCAGCCTAGCGGAGGTCACTTCACTGGGAGGTTCTCGTGGCTTGACTACCTTCCTCCGTTCAGTGGACCTAAGTCTATCAGTCGGCCTTGTCAGCACATCACCATCCCCAGTGGCAGTGGCGGCATGCAGCGTTCAACGTCAGTGTCCATCCCGGTCAAGGTGGTGAACAAGGCCGACTCCTTGGACGATAAATGCCCCTGTTGTTTCTGCAACGAGGATTTACTCAAATTACAGGTGTGGTGAAGTCTGAGGCAAATTCATTCTACCTTGAAATCAGAAAACACAATATGTTTATCTCCTAATTTTACCTTTCACTTGGTAAATATTGAATTCTGATTTGTCAATCAGAGGGTTCAAATCACAATAACCACCTCAGATGGAAGCAGCTGTGAGTTCCAAATTTGATTTGGAGTGGTTACATATACAGGTAACCACGGTAACCCAGCTAGTGGTAAATTCAAAACACAGTATGTTTATCTCCTAATTTTACCTTTCACTTGGTAAATATTAAATTCTGATTTGTCAATCAGAGGGTTCAAATCACAATATCCACCTCAGATGGAAGCAGCTGTGAGTTCCAAATTTGATTTGGAGTGGTTACATATACAGGTAACCACGGTAACCCAGCTAGTGGTAAATTCAGAACACAGTATGTTTATCTCCTAATTTTTCCTTTCACTTGGTAAATATTGAATTCTGATTTGTCAATCAGAGGGTTCAAATCACAATAACCACCTCAGATGGAAGCAGCTGTGAGTTCCAAATTTGATTTGGAGTGGTTACATATACAGGTAACCACGGTAACCCAGCTAGTGGTAAATTCAAAACACAGTATGTTTATCTCCTAATTTTACCTTTCACTTGGTAAATATTGAATTCTGATTTGTCAATCAGAGGGTTCAAATCACAATAACCACCTCAGATGGAAGCAGCTGTGAGTTCCAAATTTGATTTGGAGTGGTTACATATACAGGTAACCACGGTAACCCAGCTAGTGGTAAATTCAAAACACAGTATGTTTATCTCCTAATTTTACCTTTCACTTGGTAAATATTGAATTCTGATTTGTCAATCAGAGGGTTCAAATCACAATAACCACCTCAGATGGAAGCAGCTGTGAGTTCCAAATTTGATTTGGAGTGGTTACATATACAGGTAACCACGGTAACCCAGCTAGTGGTAAATTCAAAACACAGTATGTTTATCTCCTAATTTTACCTTTCACTTGGTAAATATTGAATTCTGATTTGTCAATCAGAGGGTTCAAATCACAATAACCACCTCAGATGGAAGCAGCTGTGAGTTCCAAATTTGATTTGGAGTGGTTACATATACAGGTAACCACGGTAACCCAGCTAGTGGTAAATTCAAAACACAGTATGTTTATCTCTTAATTGTTTCAAATGACTTAGATTTTGACTGTGAAGACCATAACAATTTTTGTTGTACCTTTATAAGAATCTTGCAATTCCATTGGTTAATCTGTACCATGTGATGAAACAATACATTTCTATGTACACCCCCAAATCACATGACTGACATTGACCTCAAATATTGACTCATCACAAGATAAGTATTGTATTTCATCATCTAGAAAACAAGATGGCGTCTGGTAGCAACATTTCACGTTCGCAGGCTACTGTAATCTAAAAGAGGACAGTTTTAAGGCTACATAAACTTTAAAGTGATTGTCAGTGTAACAATTATTTACTCTTCACGAGTAATTCTGTCCTCTGTCAGGGGTTGGGTCCTCGGGTCCAGCCACACCACCTCGGGTCCAGCCACACCACCTCGGGTTGGGTCCTCGGGTCCAGCCACACCAACTCAGGGGTTGGGTCCTCGGGTCCAGCCACACCACCACGGGTTGGGTCCTCGGGTCCAGCCACACCACCTCGGTTTGGGTCCTCGGGTCTAGCCACACCACCTCGTGTCAAGCCACACCACCTCGGGTTGGGTCCTCGGGTCCAGTCACACCACCTCGGGTTGGGTCCTCGGGTCAAGCCACACCACCTCGGGTTGGGTCCTCGGGTCCAGCCACACCAACTCAGGGGTTGGGTCCTCGGGTCCAGCCACACCACCTCGGGTCCAGCCACACCACCTCAGGTTGGGTCCTCGGGTCCAGCCACACCACCTTGGGTCAAGCCACACCACCTCGGGTTGGGTCCTCGGGTCCAGCCACACCACCTCGGGTCCAGCCACACCACCTCGGGTTGGGTCCTGGGGTCCAGCCACACCACCTCGGGTCAAGCCACACCACCTCGGGTTGGGTCCTCGGGTCCAGCCACACCAACTCAGGGGTTGGGTCCTCGGGTCCAGCCACACCACCTCGGGTCCAGCCACACCACCTCAGGTTGGGTCCTCGGGTCCAGCCACACCACCTTGGGTCAAGCCACACCACCTCGGGTTGGGTCCTCGGGTCCAGCCACACCACCTCGGGTCCAGCCACACCACCTCGGGTTGGGTCCTGGGGTCCAGCCACACCACCTCGGGTCAAGCCACACCACCTCAGGTTGGGTCCTCGGGTCCAGCCACACCAACCCAGGGGTTGGGTCCTCGGGTTCAGTCACACCACCTCGGGTTGGGTCCTCGGGTCCATTCCAGTCTTGATTGGCTCACTCATTTTTGACTAACGTACGATTGACTCACACAGTGTTGTCTCAACTACTCACTCAGTCACTCACTCAGTCACTCACTGTTGCCAGTCGCTCCTATGTAGCGAGGAACTGACGGAGGATCTGTGTCGAAGTGTCACACACCAGATCCAGAACGAGGCTGACCTTACTGGCTGGGATTCAATATGGCTGCTGTGTGTCCGTCTGCTCGACTGGAAGCAGGCGACAGAGTTCCTCATTGACCGATACCCTGGAGTGGTGCCCAAGTTCATGGTCTGCACGTATGGCCTGGACCAAGAGAAGGTGAGCATTATGATCTGAGAGACTCAAGAAGAAGGCTTGTAATGATTTTAGTTTAGTTCCAGGTTAGGATTTGTCCCCAGACTCGACTGAAATAGATCGATTGGCCAGGCCAAGTGACTTGGTTATCATCGTTCCCCAACGACTTTCTCATATCAATCACTGACCCATGAAGATCAGGGTAGAGAATAGATCTTCAGCAACCATGCTTGTTGTAAGAGGCAGCTAACGAGATCGGGTAGTCAGGCTCACTGACTTGGTTGATGCATGTCATCGTATCCCATTTGCGTGGACATCATAATGTCAATCACTGGATTGTCTGGTCCGGACTCTATTATTTACAGACCACCGTAATATAGCTGGAATATTGCTGAGGGCAGCATTAAACAACAAACAAACAAACAAACAAACAAACAAACAAACAATCAAATCAATCACCACTTTGGTTCAGACTTGATTATTTACACGCCTCAGAGATGTGGGTGGAATATCACTGACTGCAGTGTCAAACAACAAACAAACAACCTTTCTCCATACAATCATAACCAGGGCAGATTCTGTAGCTTCAGGCAACCATTTATCAGTTGAGTGTGGACGCAAACAGCTCAGAACCATGTGATGGTCCACAAGTGTAAATCTGAACACAACTAGCCAATATATATTTTACAGAACTACATATAATTAATGCTTGTTATTACATTCTAAAGTGTTGTGTTTGTTGTGTCAGTGGCAGTATGGGATGTGGTGTTATGCCATACTAAAGTGTTCTGTTAGTTGTGTCAGTGGCAGTATGGGATGTGGTGTTATTACATACTAAAGTGTTGTGTTTGTTGTGTCAGTGGCAGTATGGGATGTGGTGTTATGCCATACTAAAGTGTTCTGTTAGTTGTGTCAGTGGCAGTATGGGATGTGGTGTTATTACATACTAAAGTGTTGTGTTTGTTGCGTCAGTGGCAGTATGGGATGTGGTGTTATGCCATACTAAAGTGTTCTGTTAGTTGTGTCAGTGGCAGTATGGGATGTGGTGTTATTACATACTAAAGTGTTGTGTTTGTTGTGTCAGTGGCAGTATGGGATGCGGTGTTATTATATACTAAAGTGTTCTGTTAGTTGTGTCAGCTTGGGATGTGGTGTTATTACATACTAAAGTGTTGTGTTTGTTGTGTCAGTGGCAGTATGGGATGCGGTGTTATTACATACAAAAGTGTTGTGTTGTGTCAGTATGGGGTGTGGTGTTATGCCATACTAAAGTGTTGTGTTAGTGGCAGTATGGGATGTGGTGTTATGACATACTAAAGTGTTGTGTTTGCTGTGTCAGTGGCAGTATGGGATGTGGTGTTATTACATACTAAAGTGTTGTGTTGTGTCAGTGGCAGTATGGGATGCGGTGTTATTACATACTAAAGTGTTGTGTTGTGTCAGTGGCAGTATGGGATGTGGTGTTATTACATACTAAAGTGTTGTGTTTGTTGTGTCAGTGGCAGTATGGGATGCGGTGTTATTACATACTAAAGTGTTGTGTTGTGTCAGTGGCAGTATGGGATGTGGTGTTATGACATACTAAAGTGTTTTGTTTGTTGTGTCAGTGGCAGTATGGGATGCGGTGTTATTACATACTAAAGTGTTGTGTTGTGTCAGTGGCAGTATGGGATGTGGTGTTATTACATACTAAAGTGTTGTGTTTGTTGTGTCAGTGGCAGTATGGGATGCGGTGTTATTATATACTAAAGTGTTCTGTTAGTTGTGTCAGCTTGGGATGTGGTGTTATTACATACTAAAGTGTTGTGTTTGTTGTGTCAGTGGCAGTATGGGATGCGGTGTTATTACATACAAAAGTGTTGTGTTGTGTCAGTATGGGGTGTGGTGTTATGCCATACTAAAGTGTTGTGTTAGTGGCAGTATGGGATGTGGTGTTATGACATACTAAAGTGTTGTGTTTGCTGTGTCAGTGGCAGTATGGGATGTGGTGTTATGACATACTAAAGTGTTGTGTTTGTTGTGTCAGTGGCAGTATGGGATGCGGTGTTATTACATACTAAAGTGTTGTGTTTGTTGTGTCAGTGGCAGTATGGGATGCGGTGTTATTACATACTAAAGTGTTGTGTTGTGTCAGTGGCAGTATGGGATGCGGTGTTATGACATACTAAAGTGTTGTGTTGTGTCAGTGGCAGTATGGTATGCGGTGTTATTACATACTAAAGTGTTGTGTTGTGGCAGTATGGGACGCAGTGTTATTACATACAAAAGTGTTTTGTTTGCTGTGTCAGTGGCAGTATGGGATGCGGTGTTATTACATACTAAAGTGTTTTGTTTGTTGTGTCAGTGGCAGTATGGGATGCAGTGTTATTACATACTAAAGTGTTTTGTTTGCTGTGTCAGTGGCAGTATGGGATGCGGTGTTTGGAAGCGGTGATGAAGGAGCTGCCTTCGTCGACATCGGGAGAGGAGGTGTACATCCAAGCATACAGAGGTCAGGGGTCAAACACTATCCTCGATTATCCAGTGTATTATAAATTTGTTCTATTATGACATCTTTCCCTGGAACTTTGTTTGAGACCCGTTAAAATGACACATACTAAAAATAGCAATCCAATCAAATTATACAGTTCTTTCATGATTGGTAATAGCAGTTTTGATGTCACTGGTATTTGACTCAACACGTCGCAAATACATCCTGGTAGTTTAAGGATTTTCCACCCTTCTCAAATCTTGCTCAGCTAAAACTTCATTTATGACAAGGGGCACGGGTGGCCCAGTCGTCTAAGACACCATGATTCACTGTGCAGAGTTGAGTCCCTTGGGCACGCCAGGAACCTATGATTGTGGGTTTGACTCCAGGTGCCCCCCGATTATGTTTCTAGGTTTGTCAGCACCATACCCGTGCTCGTGGGTTTCACCAAAGTGGTAAACGTCTGAGACCTGCATCACTTCTGGCTTTCCTCCCACATTAAGCTGACACGCCGCAATATAACTGGAATACTGTTAAAAGCGGCGTTAAACTCAACTCACTCCCTTATTTATGACAACCTTCTGATTTGTTGTACACTCCTTTACTTTCAATATATCAAGGACTCGTTCGTATGAGACAAACATTTGAATTTAGATTGAAGTCTTGTTCAGAACGGTCTGCAAATTCGTCTGTGCAAGATGTTGTTTCCGGAGCATCTCTTTAAGACTACAATATTTCTTAACCAAACTTGGTACATTGATAGGTCTAGTGTTGAACTGTTGCCTTTTGATAGTTTTGGATGTTTGAAAAATTAATTTGTTGTTTCCATAGCAACAACTTTGACTAAATTCAAGTGCTTGTTTCCGGAGAAGATCTTGGAAACCGTAAAATATTTCTTAAGCAAACTTGGCACATAGATAGGTCTAGTGGTGAACTGATGCCTTTTGATAGTTTAGGATTTTATAAACATTTATTTTTCTGGTTTCCATAGCAACAACAAAGGGGCCCTGGGATATTTGTGGTCTTATCCTTTCTTAAGGAAATTATCTTTTTAAGTCGAGGACATATGTATTTCTTTATGGTAGGATTTGTCAATTTCAGGCATCCTGAAGGATTTATCAGAGTTACTTCCCCCTGAAGACTTCCTCAGCCTGTTGCCAGCAGATGGCAGTTTTACATTCATGTTGCCGTACATCACACAGTGCTTCCGGCACCAGCGGGCCAAGGCACTCAAGAATAACATCATTGACAAGGGACGTCAAATGGTCACACGTCACTGACCAACGCTTGACACCAAGACTTGACCAGCTTGTACCTTAGATTTTGGAACCTGAGAATACTGAAATGTGTAGATTGTACTGACATATTCCATGGAATATTTCCAACATTCCTGAAGATCTGGGGTAGAATAGGTCTTAAGGAACCCATGCTTGTCTCCCGGTGAAGATCCAGGGTAGAATAGGTCTTCAGCAACCCATGCTTGCCGTAAAAGGCAACTATGCTTGTCGTAAGAGGCAACTAATGGGATCGGGTGGTCAGACTCGCTGACTTGGTTGATGCATGTCATCATATACCAAAAGCATGGATCGATACTCTTGATGCCAATCACTGAACTGTCTGGTCCAGACTCAATTATTTACAGATGCCGTCATATAGCTGGGATATTGCTGAGTGCGGCGTCAAACAACAAACAAACAAGTAAAACTCCAACATTCCAAGATATTGCAATAAACAGCACTAACTAATCTATGCATTTGTTCTAAATTCTGTGATGATTCATGTAACAAGAATAAGACAGATGTAGTGTTGTTGGGAATTGGTTAAAATGTATTATAGCTAAAACGGATAGAATTATCATTAAAACGCCCGCATGTTATCAGAAATTATAGCTAAAACGGATAGAATTATCATTAAACCGCCCGTATGTTATCAGAAATTATAGCTAAAACGGATAGAATTATCATTAAAACGCCCGCATGTTATCAGAAATTATAGCTAAAACGGATAGAATTATCATTAAACCGCCCGTATGTTATCAGAAATTATAGCTAAAACGGATAGAATTATCATTAAAACGCCCGTATGTTATCAGAAATTATAGCTAAAACGGATAGAATTATCATTAAAACGCCCGTATGTTATCAGAAATTATAGCTAAAACGGATAGAATTATCATTAAACCGCCCGTATGTTATCAGAAATTATAGCTAAAACGGATAGAATTATCATTAAAACGCCCGTATGTTATCAGAAATTATAGCTAAAACGGATAGAATTATCATTAAAACGCCCGTATGTTATCAGAAATGAGCGGGCCACTGTAACTTGATAATGTCCTCATATTGCTTGACGACGGGCCATTATCACGCCCGTTGTTAGGTGACGTCACAGGATAGGGATAGGTGACGTCACGTTCAATAGTGACGTCATCTGGTTTGTTCTATGACGTTTCCATATTTGTAAAAGTGGGTCAGTTACATTCGTGTTGATCGCAGTAAATGTTTCCTTTTTATTTGATAACAAATTCCATCCATTTTAGCTATAATAACGGTAACACTATTTTTCAGGTCTTTATCATTTGCAGAAGCCCTCTGTCTTTACAACTGCCCTCCTTCGTCGGGCCGTTAATGGAAGACCTCAGGCTTCTGCAAATGATAATGCCCTGAAAAATAGCGTTACCCTTTTATGACTGATAATGGATATGCAATCGATGATCAACAATTATTGATTATGTATGGAACATATTCTTGCTTGCTTCAGCAATCCTAAAGTACACAAATATTTTCCAATCAATGTTTCAGAAGACGTTGTATACTTGGCAGGTGGTCATGAATGATGTTGAAATGTTGTGATGGTTTGATCAATTGTTACAGTTGAAATCTTTGTGCTTAGTCCTGCCTTTGAACTGTAAGAGCTAATCGGCAAACCAAAACGTCAAGACTGTAGATTTAGAATTCCATGATGTAGTTGGCTGAAACTATCATTTGCCATCTTCAAAAACGTAATTTCAACTGTTGATCTAATTTCCATGAAATCTAAAACAGGAAAGTTTATTTCTCAGGAAATAAAACATGTAATGGCAACATGTACATGCGGTGGAATGCCCTACTGCTGTGTTCAAAGAAAAAAAGCCTGCTCACTTTTGAGCAAATCTTTGGCATGTTCCCCTGCTGTAAATAGTAAAAAATGCTGAAAGAAATGTGTTGCAAAATTGGTTATATTTTTTTGCTCAGAGAAAAAATATGTCTTTAATCAGCAACTGAATGTCAGTCTACTGAAACTTTCTAAAATGAATATATTTACCATAAAAAGTTGTTAAATAATAGTTATAAAATATATCTATACTGAGACTTTCTTCATTTTCAGATACTGCAGTAATCTAGACTTGCCAAACATTATAGACTTGCATGGGCTAATTGGATATATTTGTTTCAGGGCCTTTATGGCTGACTATTATTTACCATGTCAAATGCCCTACTCCAATAAAGGGGCGGTCAGGTAGCCTAGTGGTTAAAGCGTTAGCTCGTCACGCCGAAGACCCAGGTTCGATTCCCGACATGGGTACAATGTGTGAAGCCCATTTCTGGTGTTCCCCGCCGTGATATTGCTGGAATATTGCTAAAAGCGGCGTAAAACCAAACTCACTCAGTCACTCACTACTCAAATAAATGCCCCCCAAACAACCTCTGCAAGTAATCTTTATAAGTGCCCCCAACAAAGACTGAAACTTTGTGACAGTCCACATTTTCTTGTTTATAATGCAGATTTCTTTTTCAGAAAAGGTGTATATGATTGCCTAGTAACTATTATAAGAAATATTATAGTTTCATTGACATGACCTTGATCTTGTTTATGACTTTAATAAATCCCTATGTTAATATTCTATGTGACTGGAGCGCTTATTTCGGAGAATACCGAATGTTTAATAGTGTCATTATTGTAGCAGGGGATGGAGTCATCCCACAGATGACATCCTTACCTTGTCAACTTGCTGACAGGGTTAACCTCTTTGGTCATGTGGACAAGGCGTCCGACCTCTGATCAGAAGGTCCGTGGTTCGAATCCCATCACGGAACTCGGAAATTTTATGGCCGCTACATTATCATGATTAGGAAATAGTCTCCAGGTTAAATCTGACTCAATGGTAGTGATATTATTTAAGGTGTAATCTAGTTTTGATTATTGGTGCTTTCTCCTTCTTGTTTACCTTGACCTTCCGGCTCGGGGGGGGGGGATTTGATAATTTTCTGAAACAATGGCTGCATTATCGTACCTACTTAAATGTGCAATGTAAAATTGTGTTATGTAAAATACGGAGAATTTAGATGATGTACATGTTGTGACCATACTGAAATTGTCATTTAGGTCAAAAGTATTTGACCCGTGAAGATTCCTGGGTAGAATAGGTCTTCAGTAACCCATGCTTGCCGTAAAAGGCGACTATGCTTGTCGTAAGAGGCGACTTACGGGATCAGGTGGTCAGGCTCGCTGACTTGGTTAATGCATGTCATCGATCCCAATTGCATGGATTGATGCTCATGATTTCAATCACTGGATTGTCTGGTCCAGACTCGATTATTTACAGACCACCGTCATATAGCTGGAATATTACTGAGTGCGGTGTTAAACAACAAACAAACAAACAAAAGTATTTATGGAATCATTTCGTATATGATATTTTGGCACGGTTCCACTTCGACCCTCATTGACTGAATCTAGTGAAAATTGCAGCTTTGTCAAATTTTGATATTGAAATAATGAGAAATCACAATCTTCTGGGTACTCAATCAATCAGGTGCCTTCACAGCATTAATCATACTGTGTGTTAATAGTTTTAGCAGTGTGTGTGTGTGTGTGTGTGTGTGTGTGTGTGTGTGTGTGTGTGAAAAGTCTTTCAAGGAAATATTTTTTCAATGTCATTAAAATCAGATCTAAGTTCACGCTGCCGCAAAATCAAATATTTTTTCAATGTCATAAAATCAATCTAAGTTCTCGTTGCCGTTAAAGAAAGATCTTTGTTTAGCGATAGCGAGAACTAAAATCTGATTTTAATGAGACTGATATTTTCGGGAAATACTTCTGTGTTCTGTGGATAATGTTATGAAGGTGTGGAAGAGATTTTTGTGTGTTCACATTGTGAATGAAACAATGATTTATATATATATAATTCATTATTTTGTAAAATAATACATATTATATTTATATCATCCGTTGATATATGTCATTAAATGATTAAATGAATCATCTTATAAATAGTGTTTGTTCTGCATACGCTAAAGAATATATTTTCAAAGACAATTTTATCTGGCCCCTCCTTTTGGCTCTAGCTGAGGTGGCATTGGTTGAATCAAGGAATCACTGCCTAAATTGTCTTCCAACAGGTCAATTCCAACACGTCGGCCAATTCCATCTTCCCGAGACAAGGGAGTAACTAACTTATTACAAAAGTCCAGTTTCCACCCTTGCCGAACTAGGCTGGTATTATGGAGTTACATTTTGGCGGGACTAACGAGTCCATGCATAGTCCACTCAAATTCATGTGACGAAATCGACATCCGGTTTGTAAACTGCTCTGCAGATTTCGGCCGATTGCACTGTGTGAAAAGCATGTTCACCTCGGCGTCAACATATCGTGCAAATCTTTTCATGTTTTTAGTCAACGTACTCATGTGATTTGATGCACTGCCCGTCACTGCCCGCTCTCCCATTCAACTTTTCTTGAAACCACACCCGCAATTGTTTATGTCAACATGACCGACCAATGGGATTAACTGGATTAACGCTTGAAAGGGTAAGAATTTATGGCTAACCCTTGCCCAAAGCCAGCTGACCCTAATGACCGAAAAGGGGTTTTGGATCGTAAAGACGTGTAAGTTTCCCTAAGACCGAAAACGGGTGTTGGATCGTAAAGACGTGTAAGTTTCCCTAAGACCGAAAAACGGGTGTTTGATCGTAAAGATGTGTTAGTTTCCCTAAGACCGAGAACGGGTGTTTGATTGTAAAGATGTGTAAGTTTCCCTAAGACCGAAAACGGGTGTTGGATCGTGAAGCGAGAGTCACCAGAGCGTGAGGCACGGTAACGGTATAACGAGACAGCGGTGGCACTATAGCGCGGTAATTGAGCGGATGGTAGAGCTCGGGCTGCGCCCGGTAAACTGCATTGTTGCCGATGCACTTGAGTTTAGTACAGCTACCTCACGGGCAAATAGTCAGTGCCACCCTCAAGAAAATTAAAGTGATACTAGACGAGGTTCAGTTGAGGTTAGATATGGTCAAAGGTCAATATCTTCTACTCGCCAAAGACCCAGCTGACTGCAAATACAACTCGCAAAATTATTCAAACTCACACCTTGGCTGAAACAAATAAACAGCTTTTGTGAATGGTGTGTAAACATTTAATTATTCATTACACAATATGTCTGTAGGATTTTTGTTAAGTCTTTGTTCAGTTGCTAAATACTGCACTGGGAGTTACCATGGTCATGGGTATTTGAAATTGAAATCACATTCGTCACCACTCGCCCCTTTCCGTAACCTGCAAGAAGACTCGCCCCCCATCGATGAATGTTATGTGCGAAAATACGACAAACCAATCAGAATGCGCGTAAGATTTCAAGTTCTTCGTCAAAGAATCCCTCAGAAATAATTTTTGATTTTACATATGTCTTGCATCTAAAAATATACCCAAGACACAGTTAAATGTGTTCAATGATACTGTATAATTCCGCATGTCCCGATGTGCTTTAAATTGCATCTGAAATATGGGGAAATATATGTGAACCATTACGCAACGAGTTGACAATTGTTTTAGGTATGCCCGTTTGCGCTAAGACGGAACCCGGTTGCAAAAATGGCCATGAGATGGGCACGAGTCGCTATTCGGCTTGTCCCGGAATAACACGAGTTGGTCACGAATGATTGAAATCAAAACAGAACGACAAGATTCACTTGCTAAATTATTTCAGTAAGCGCAACTAGTATGACGTCACAAGGTCCAGCGTGACACAGTAAATGTGACGTCACAGTTGGATGAATTGTTTGATAGGCAGTAGAAGTTGACGGATGACAACGTTTCGGTATAAATCCTTATAATGTTGTCAAGCAAGACTGTCTTCCCCTGGTTGACAACGGTATAAGGATCTATACCGAAACTAGGTCTTTACAGTATTAAAGAAGTTGTTGTCCTTACATTGTGTCTACTTTGTCACAGTTGGAGATACATTAGCACCACTTTCTTACTTACGCGTGAGACCGTGAAGATCCGGGGTAGAATTGGTCTTCAGCAACCCATGCTTGCCGTAAAAGGCGACCATGCTTGTCGTAAGAGGCGACTAACGGGATCGGGTGGTCAATCTCGCTGACTTGGTAGATGCTTGTCATTGATTCAAATTGCATGGATTGATGCTCATGATGTCAATCACTGGGTTATCTGGTCCAGACTCGGTCATTTACAGACCGCCGTCATATAGCTGGAATATTGCTGAGTGCGGCGTTAAACAACAAAGGCACAAGTGAAGATATCACCCGTATTAACAAACATACAGCTGTATTACACATTGTGTAATACCAAAGCACGTGCTTATGTACTCCGGGAACAAGTTTCACGAATAAATATTAAAAACACTCAACATCCCTGGGCTTGTTCAAACATTGCGTATAGAGATGATAGAGCATCTTATGCACACACGATGACCCCAGCAAACCTTGTTGCTAGGCTGACGTCACATGACATTGTTTTGCCGGTGGATCTTGCAACAGAATTCCAAAAAATAGATCATAGGGTATTGTGACGTGATTGGTAAACTTTGAGGTGCAAGGCCCCGTTCCACAAGTCGATCGCAGCGCAACGACTGGTACGTCTACGTTTGTTTGTTTGGTTGTTTTGTGCCACACTCAGCAGTATTCCAGCTATGGAGCTATATGACGGCGGTCTGTAAATAATCCAGTCTGGACCAGACAATCCAGTGATTGACATCGCTCTTCAGATACCAGAACTATTAACTAGTTTTATAAAATTGGTATTACACGGTAGCTCGTTTTGTATTCTATGTATATTATATACTTCAGTGTGAAAGACTGAGTTTTCTGCTGCTTATATTTTTTAAGATTTTGCAATCTCGGAACTACTGTTCAAGTCGCAATTACAAACGGTGGTGAAATGTCCCTGCGTATAAGGTATGGAGAATTTACGTTTCAATATCTTACATTTGTAAAAATAATTTGTTGACAAGTACACATAAAGAAAATAATAAATAGGGGGGGGGGGGGGGGGGGGGCTGGAGAGGGGATATTTTCACTCGTGGCTACTTGTGAAAATATATCCTTTCCCCCCGTCACTCGAAGAGTGAAAAACGAAATTTCACTTAACACATGAAATGCTTATATATATATATATATTGCTTCTAAAACTAAAGTTTTCATGGTGTGTTACTGACCATACGGTATAAATGTGTTAAGCTGGGTCCCGTCTCTAATATCACAATATCGCACGTTGACGACGCGCGCATAGGGAGCCGGGAACCAGCTTATAAATGTGTGTGGTTAAAAAAATGGCGTGTGCGCATGACGTCACGAGTGTGCTTGATTATGACGTCACACCATTGTCAAACACGAGCGCTCGTCAGACAGATCACACAGACAGCAGTAGCTACCGTGGTTGATAACTATAGCTGCCCAACTCTACCAGGTCTAGAAATGTATGAGGCCTTCCCGTTCAACCACCTCCGCCAGAGGACGTAAGTAGCCTACCAAGCTTCCAACGGCAGAAGCTTCTGACACGACTTGTTTTTGAATCGTGAACAAACAAGTGAAAAGAGACCCGTAGAGGGACTGATACATGTTGACGTGTAACGTGTCTTAAAAAACTGAAAAAAACGGGGCGCCCTTCGAAATCCCGAAGTGATGCTTTGTTTGTTTTGGAGTTAATTGAAGAACATATTTTCCGTTCGGAAGTACCGTTGAGTCCCCTGCAGTTAACTCGCACCAGTAAAATTTCTAGCTACTTATATCTTATTAACTAAATCTATCTTACTGAATAGAGGTTATCACGCGAGAGAGTTTTGGGATGGTGAATATCCTGTTTTTAAAAAATAAACATTGTGTTTAGCGAGCCGTCTGAGTCTTTTTCGAGTAGCATGCCGCCCTTGTCGTGTGAAACAGGAAGATAGAATATTTAAACTAAATAGCTAACTAGATATGTCTTAAGGAAGAGAATATATGGATGTCAACTTCTTTATTATGAGGAACACAACGTTTCGAAGTATATACTTACTCCTTGGTTGATGCATGCCATCGATCCAATTGCGTGAGACGATGCTCGTGATATTATCCCTGGATTGTCTGGTCCAGACTCGATTATTTACAGACCGCCGTCATATAGCTGGAATATTGCTTGGTGCGGCGTTAAACAACTAATCAACCAACCAACCTTCACCAGGTGAATGAATGCGAGAGAGAGTTTTAGTGATTTTACGACCGCTTCAGCCGTCGGCTATTTCGCAGTTGGGGCCAGACGGGTTAGATAAAAATTAATAGTTGGGAATACATGTATAGGGATAATCGGCTGGCCCAAAAAACTGTAAATTAGTGGGGGTAAAGATAGAAAGAAATATAGGAAAGGGGGTGGAATATGATGGAAGAAATTTAGTGGGTGATAGAAGCTGTCTAGAAACCTAGGCTAGTTGATACATGATAAGGGGATAGGGTTAGGATAAGTATAAAATCAGTTAGGCTGACGTATTTATTGTGGTGTATGGTAAATGAAAGAAAAAACAAGGAGGGAGAATGGAAAACCTAGCCTAATAAACATTGGGCTTATGCGGCGGGGGTGAGGGAGGCGTGCGGCGGGGGTGAGGGAGGCGTGTGTCAGGGGAGGTCCGACGTTATGCGTATGGGACGGCTTGGGTGGGTGGCTGGATAAATGAACATGATGTTTAGTAGTCTGGATATGGATGGCTTTATCGCGCGGACGTCGGAGAAGGCAATCCGCGCTAGGAATTTCGATCCCGATCCTGAAGTGTTGTTTGTATTTGGGGAAGTGATTGAAAATGTGTTCTATGTTTTCAGGGAGTTGACAATAGGTGCAGTTGGGATGTGGGTGTCTGTTTTGTTTATATAGTGTTTCGTTAAGATTGACTTGGCCGCTTAACATTCTGTTTATAATTTTATCCGTGATAATAGACTTTGTGAAGTTGCGGCATTTGGTATCTGGTTTACTGAAAAGAGATTTTATCCATTTGGATTTACAATTTTGAATATTAATTTGGAAATTTTTATTTAAGATGTTTTTGTCTGATAAGTGATTTGATTTCGGCTTTGCTTGTAGTGAAGTTTATACATGGTGATGGATGTGTAGTGGCTATTTTTGCTGCTGAATCTGCTAGGTGGTTGCCCTGTGTTCCCGTGTGTGCAGGTGCCAAAAGTAGTATTATTGTTTTGTTTGTATCTGTGATGCTAGTGTGTATGTCTATGATATTGTTTATGATGTCTTAGATATTTTGTTTTGAATTTGGGATAGTGAGCCTAGGGAGTCAGAAATAATTAGATAGTTAGAGTCATTAGATTGTTTTATATACAGTAAACTACGGTTATAACGAACTCAAAGGGACTACTAATTTTAGTTCGTTATAACCGTAGTTCGTTATAAGCATATATACAGCATAACTACAGCAACTAGTCGGGACCAAAAAAGTAAGTTCGTTATATCCGTCAGTTCGTTATAAGCGTGTTCGTTATAACCGTAGTTTACTGTAGTGATAAGCACATTGGATAGCTAATAATTCTGCTGTAGTAGTATAAGTCTGTCTTACAGACCCTGATACAACTATATATCAAATACAGCCCATGCAAGTCTATAATGTTTGGCAAGTCTAGATCACTGCAGTATCAATGAAAATGAAGAGAGTCACTGGGCTCTTTTTTATTATATTTTTATTAAGATAACTGAACATCTGTTTTTTTATGTACGATATGTTCATTTCAGAGACTAGATTTTAGTCTACAGTAGTATGTGTGTAGTCAGTATAGTGGAAGTTGGTGGTGATAGGTATTGGTTGTGTGATCTGGATGCCTAGTCCTGTGATATTATTGTTATTTTGGGAGGCGTCAGTATAGATGTGTGTTTGTGGTTTGGCCAGTTCTGTTGTATGTAGTTGTTTGTTATAAGTGTTTTGTCTGGTTTTGTGGTACGTGAATATTTTGTGAAGTGTTAAATTTGTATTAGGCGGGGGTGTGTCATTAATGTAGATATCAGATGGGGGTGTATGTCTGATGTTTTCAAGTTTGTGAGTTTTGATGAGTTTGTGTAGATGTGTTACGTATGGGGCTAAGTTATTGCTGTTTTTGAATTTGTCAGAGATTTGTTTGAAAATGGGTTTATGTTGGGCCCCAGCCCAGTAATTTAGGATGGTTTGGTTACGTCTTAGCTTAATTGATGAGGTGCCGGAGATAATGGGAGTGAATTTAAGGAGGCACCGGTTCTGGTCCCCAGGGCTGTTTTTAGGGCTTTATACTGGATAGATATGAGTTTTTATCTAGTTTTTCCGTGATAGAGTGGAGGTCCGGGGCGGCATAGTCAATTTTAGGTAATATAAGTGATTTATATATGTTAAGTAATGTTTGTTTGTCGGAACCCCAATCAGAGCAGCTAATGGCTCTCATTAGATTAAGATCTTTTTGACATGATGTGACCAGATTAAGAATATGGGGAGCCCATGTTAATTGTTGGTCGAAGATAATTCCCAGAAATTTTTCTTCCGTTTTAAATATAATATTTTCGTTAAGAGTGCGTTTGGGTGTGTAATTTTGCATGTGTCCATTTTTAAATAGCAAGCCTGCAGGGTGTATTGTTTCTGGGGCTTTAGGGGTAATATATAGTAATTTTGCATAGTAATTTTGAAATTTGGAAAGAATGCCAAGAGTGGGTGGGGGACGAACTAAGGGAGCTGTGTGTGTTGGGTGGTTGTTAGATGGGGTTTAAATGCGACTAATTAGTCCTGTTTTATTTAGGTATACGCCCAAGGCTTTGAATTTTTCTAATTTATTTTGTGGATTTAGGATTGATTCTAGTGTAAGTCCGGTTTTAAGATTTAGGGTGGTCTGTAGTGTTTGCAATGTGGGCATTTTTCTGTTGTGTGTAGATTAGCTATTTTACGGTGATTATTTAGTTTGGTGTGGCCTGTTTGTAGTTTAGTAATTATTTTGTCGATTTTTTTGGATGGGTGTAGTATTTTTGGTTTATTTAGGGGTTTTATTTCGGGGTACTTTCCTGATTTGGCTATTTGAGTTTTGGTATATATTTTGCCATTTGTTTTTGATTTTTTGTTTAGTGACACTTTTGATTTCTGATTTTGAGCTGGGTAAGTTTAAGCTTATTTCTTGGAGTTTAAGGGATAATTTTGCTGCTTTATGAATGCCATGAGGCAGAGAGCATATATATATATGTAATTGGCGCTGATAGGTGAAAGGATGGACATAGCAATGGGCAAATGGACGCCAGCTGGGTGATTGGCACCGACAAAGATCGAAGCAATAAGTTCCAAGAACCACGCAGATAGGTTCCGTGGTCACGGTTCATGGCTGGCTGGTGTCTCCTGATGTCAGTGGCTTCTTGTACTTTTTTGAGTGAGTGAGTGAGTTGGGTTTAACGCCGCTTTTAACAGTATTCCAGTTATATCGCGGCGTGTCAGCTTAATGTGAGAGGAAAGCCCGAAGTGAGGCAGGTCTCAGACGTTTACCACTTCGGTGAAACCCACGAGCACGGGTATGGTGCTGACAAACCTAGAAACATAATCGGGGCGAACCGGGATTCGAACCCACAATCATAGGTTTCTGGCGTGCCCAAGGGACGCAACTTTGCACAACGAATCGCGGCGCCTTAGGCGACTGGGCCACCCGTGCCCCCTCACCCGATGAAGGAGTAAGCATGTACTCCGAAACGTTGTGTTCCTTAAAAAAAAAGAAGCCGAGATCCATATATTCTCTTACTTTTGTGTATCACCTCTAAATGCTTTTCAAAAACTAAATATGTCTTTTTGCATGAAACGCACTTGCAGAACGACCCTTCCATGCAACAAGTAAACGTGCGGAACATTTATCGGGAATGTTTTAGAGGCTCCATTGTTTTAAAGGAATGGACAGTTGTTTGTCACTTATACGTCATCTTGAACAAACATTTAAATTAATTTAAAAAATAAATGAAGTTGATTTTCACTTGGCAGGCGGGACTATTTTTTAAATATATTTTGACAAGTGAATAATTTACAATTTTGTCAGAAAACATGTCGGCAGTTGGGCTCGAACCTGCATCGTTTGATTCGAGGACGTCTAATTGTCCACCTCAGCTACGGCGAAATTAACTTTTAATACTTGACTGGTAAAAATACTTATATGAATGTAATGTTGTGTTTTAGCAGGTTACCCATAACAATGTTCATATTTAAAGCAGTTAGATGAAGCTTTCACGAGAGAAAAAACCCAAAACATGTTAACATATATATCCCTGTTCAGGGCTCTATATTTCTTATAATTCCCGTCAGCATGTATTTACAACGTGCGAGCGATTGATAAAATACTTGTTTGGGACCCCACGAAATTATGAAGAGCCGTATACCATGCATTGTAAATATCAGCTCGCGACGGTGCTTGGTGCACGTGCAACAGCGGCAGGGAGTGTATTCCTCGTGCATCACACGTGAGGGCGATTCACACAGCCACATGCAGTCTTGGTATATTATAGATTTCTGGTATATTTTGAAATATTTTCCACAGGGGAATTTTTTTTCAAAGTGTAAAAGTAGCGATGTGTTTTAAGTAGGGGAATATCCTCGTAATTCTCCATTTCTTAAAAATAAAGGGCCTCAGCCCGCGGGACGTAACTCTGTAGAGCGAGACGACTGGGCCAATCGCAGCCCAATGTTAAAATGAAACAAACAAAGGGTATTCAACAGGTTAGAATTGAAGCCATGCTTCAAAACCGTAACAATCTTTTGTGCAAGAATTTAATGTAGATCGAAGTTTGGTAGCCTGCAGTTATGGAATTAATCCCAGACCATAACCGTCATCTGTATATGTATATATTTAAAGTCTGTGTATGGAGGTTTGTTCAATACTCTCGGCGACATATGCAAGAGAAATGAGAAATAAAATATTAAATAAAAAGATATTGCAAAACAGTTCAAAACCATCTAAATTTGATATCCTAATTTATATTTTGCCATACGTTTTTTTTTCAAAGCGAACGAAATCAATACTTTAGGAATTATGTCCAATCCAGCAGGGCGCAACAGCATTATATTGTGACTGGTCTTTTATGAAATGGGGGAAGGTGAGGTCATGGAAAATGTCATATGTATTTGGGGAGCAATGAAAGACTGATTATCTTTTGGACATTCATTCTGCTATTTCATTGAACGCAGCACATGCGCACATGTGGTGTAAAATATCCAGACACAAGTCTGAATCGGCCAACACTTGGGAGTCGACCAGAAAGAATATGCGTGCAGCAAAATCAATAAGTACGACATTGCTTCGGAGACCAGTTGCAACAACGTTGATGGCAGGGTTAAGTTGTGATCAATTCTCGTAATGTCTCGTCACACGTGGAAACGCGAGGTCTGAATTTTCAACGAGTTTTTTTTATCTCATTTCAGCACGGTGTCTAATTTAGACTCCGAGGTGACGTCTGTCGTCGATGCCAGTGTGCGGAGCTTGCTGGACCCCATAGTCGGACAGTTTTGGCGCTGTGTGGGATGCATCAGTGAGTACATATGTACCTTTTTTTATGCCTCAAAGTGAGTTTGACCAATCAAAGAGCAGAACTACTAACCCAATAGGAGCCCGTGTGCCGTCAGTAAGAATCCAAGATGGTTGTTACTGACGTAATATGAGACCGTATACCGTCAGTAACAGCCATTTTGGATTTTCCAAAACACACCTCACATATTCTGGAACATTCTGGTACAGAAATTCGTTTTTCGACACTGTTTTGTGTTTGAATATAATAAATTTTGATGTGCAAGGACGTTAATGTTTTCTGGATCACGTTCGTGACTTTAATAAAGATTAGGGGCGGTCGGGTAGCCTAGTGGTTAAAGCGTTCGCTCGTCACGCCGAAGACCCGGGTCCGATTCCCGACATGGGTACAATGTGTGAAGCCCATTTCTGGTGTCCCCACCGTGATATTGCTGGAATATTGCTAAAAGCGGCGTAAAACCGTATTCACTCACTCAATTAATGAAGATTAGGGGGGCGGTCGGGTAGCCTAGTGGTTAAAGCGTTCACTCGTCACGCCGAAGACCCGGGTTCGATTCCCGACATGGGTACAATGTGTGAAGCCCATTTCTGGTGTCCCCCGCCGTGATATTGCTGGAATATTGCTAAAAGCGGCGTAAAACCATACTCACTCACTCACACTAATAAAGATTATATAAAGTTAAAAATATCAACAAGGTTTGTCCTTGTAGTCTCCCTTTGACCCTTAATGTCTTAGGTTGTAAGTGTTAAGTTTTGAGTTCTAAGTTTGACATGACTTGTGCGACAAAGATACCAAATAGTGTAAACTTTTCGGCATAATAAATTCGTTACGTTGTCTTTAGTTGCCGTGTACGGTGTCATATTAGGTTAGCAGAAAAATACTGGGGTCGGCTCACGCCTCGCCGAATGTTTTTCTGCTAACCTAATATGACACCGTATATGGCGACTAGACACCATAACAAATAGTATATAACGTCCTTTTGTTAGACGGGTGGCCCAGTCGTCTAAGGCGCCGCGATTCGCTGTGCAGAGTTGCGTCCCTTGGGCACGCCAGAAACCTATGATTGTGGGTTCGAATCCCGATTCGCCCCGATTATGTTTCTAGGTTTGTCAGCACCATACCCGTGCTCGTGGGTTTCACCGAAGTGGTAAACGTCTAAGACCTGCATCACTACGGGCTTTCCTCCCACATTAAGCTGACACGCCGCGATATAACTGGAATACTGTTAAAAGCGGCGTTAAACTCACTCACTCACTCACTTAATAATGAATTTGCACACTGGAACACTGAACGAAGTTTTAATTATTAATAAAAAATGATGCAGTTTGGATATGTATTAACGGCTGTGCACGAATATCAGTTTTTATTACCGATACTCACTAAGAGATGAAGATTAACATATGTTAAGAACAGTGACGAATTCCCTACTCTGGTATATGCTCAGTTTTATCAGTACACTATTTATTCGGTAGATCATACACTCACCCCGAATAGGATTCTTAGTCAACTTTAGCATAATCAATTAACAATGACCACCGGTCTGGTGAAAGGGGCGTTGAGGCGTTGAGTCACATACGTGTAGGGAACCGCGTCAAGAAGCGTCATCGAGACCAAAATAACCGTGGTCAAGGACGTACATCGATCACTATACGTATTTGCCTTGGTGACGTGTTGTGGAGCTACGTTGAAGCAATGGACCTGGGCCCGTTCCACGAAGCAGTAAGACCATCGTAACTCCACTGTTACTTATTAGTTGGACGTCCATCGTAGCTCCACAACCTAATTACGACAGTCGTAGTGGTAAGACCATCGTAACTCCATTTCTACTTATTAGTTGGACGTCCATCGAAGCTCCACGACCTACTTACGTCAGTCGTAGTGGGAAGTCCATCGTAGCTTCACAACCTTCTTACGTCAGTCGTAGTGGGAAATCCATCGTAGCTCCACAACCTACTTACGTCAGTCGTAGTGGGAAGTCCATCGTAGCTTCACAACCTTCTTACGTCAGTCGTAGTGGGAAGTCCATCGTAGCTCCACAACCTACTACGACAGTCATAGGGATTAGTTAGCTTTGTGGAACGGCCTGGATGTGGAAGATGGCCTTGTTTTGGCACTATGCAGAATCTATTGACCTGGACCCACTTGCACAAAGCGATCTTAGCGCTAAGATGATCTTAACTCCCATACGGCTTGTCAGTTCAATGTTGGAGGAAAGCCCGAAGTGAGGAGGTCTCAGACGTTTACAACTTTGATGAAACCCACGAAACATAATCGGATCAAACGGGGATTCTTACCTACAAGCATGGGTTTCTGGTGTCCCCAAAGGGACCCAACTCTGCACCCCGAGTTGTGGCGCCTTCGACGACGGGTCCTCCCGTGCCCCCTATATTGGTTAAAATAGTAATTGTTATAGATTTAATTGATAAAAAATGATTTCAAAATGTTTACACAAATTCTGATGACATAGGCTCCAAAAGATCGTCAATAAATGGAACTTGCTATAAACTATTAGTATTACCATGCTATTAACATGTAAGTATTCTCATAATTAAAAACAATCCCACTGTTACCTTTCTCGTACCGCACCGACGCATTCTTATTGGCTCTTGGCCAATATTTTGGTTTGATATTTTGGACACCTCCCTTTTAAAAATGCTGGATGCATTGAGATTATTTTGGATGGCCTTATGTCGCTGGAATAGGTTCCAAAGTGGCGTACACCTTATCTCACAAACACTGTGGAATCAAGTCTTCGACAGGCAATTAGAACACGAATGCGGAATCGTTGGTCCGAGCGTCAACACAAAGAAGCACCCGTAAAATATACTCTACTTACACGTGGCCCGGCCAGTGTTGAATTGCGTCCTTGGCGGCCATTTTGAAAAAAAGGTGATAACTTCCAAAAAAAGCTGCCACCGCTGCAATGCTATCACACATTTTCCAACTCTAGGGGTCCACACCTTGCCAGAAATCACTATGAGCATTTTTCCCCTAGCTTGATACCGGTGGCTACACTGGACTATTCCTGCTTCGCAAACCAAATAAACTCCAACTGACATCTATTTAGCCATTACAACTGCTTCATGTTTTTCGGAATCATCTCGGATAAATAAGACATTTTTTTTTGTTTGGTTGGGGTATCTTTGAAGTAATTACACCAAGTAACAGATGTACTAGAGCCCTGTTTGAACACGGGCGTGCTCGCGCTGTGGTCGAGTTAGAATTCTTTGTTACAATACACGTAGGTCACGTGCCAAATATACTCAACCGCAAAAGAAACGCAAGTCAAGTTTTTTGTTTGTGAAATGCACAAAATAGTAATTTGTGGAAAGCTATTCACTTTTACATGTCATTGTCCTTACTGACCCAAACCCATACTGACTCAACCTCACCTCCAACAACGCCCTCAGTGGGCCTAACATCACCTGCGTTGGCGACGTCATTAGTGGCAACAAGTTGTCTTCTCGGACGAATTAAGGTTCAACCTTTTTTCACGCCGATGGCCGCATCAGTGTGTGGAGGCGGCGTAATGAAGACGGCGCTAACTGCTGTATCTTAGGCCAGTTGTCATCACAGGACCCCTCTACACGTGTTCCGTCAGCGTGTGACTGATGTCGTGTACAGGGATGATGTTCATCGTAATCACGTCAGACCTCTCTTCCTGGGTCAACCTCAACTCCAGGTCTTTCAGCAGGACAACGCTCGTCCCCATACAGCACGGGTCTCTATAGACCTCCTCAGCGTGAATGTCATTCCTGTGAGTGAGTGAGTATGGTTTTACGCCGCTTTTAGCAATATTCCAGCAATATCACGGCGGGGAACACCAGAAATGGGCTTCACACATTGTACCCATGTCGGGAATCGAACCCGGGTCTTCGGCGTGACAAGCGAACGCTTTAACCACTAGGCTACCTGACCGCCCCTCATTCCTGTGATGTCCTGGCCGCCCTTGTCAATGGACACGGCGCCAATTGCGCATGCCTGGGACGAGATTGGGAGACGTTTTCAGGCTGCAAGACATATACACATACTACCAGGAACGGGAAGCCTTTTTGGTGCGGGAATGGAACAGGATTCCTCAAGCCTTCTTCCAAAGACTCGTCGACTCAATGAGACGGCGGCCTGTATCGCAGCTAACGGAGACAACACACACTATTAATGGACACGACTGACACTTGTCATTTTATGTTTGGGGGAACCGTGTTATCGGGGGGATTTTTTAATATACACGGATGGTTGTCATCAAACAATCAAGGCTTATTTGGTATCAAATGATTTCTCTGTAATCATTTCTTAATATTATTTACATATCTGTTATGGTCTTAACGTTAACCGCATCTTTATGTACAACTTGCGTTTCTTTTGCGGCTGGATCCGTGAAGAATAGGTCGTCAGCAACCCATGCTTGTCGTAAGAGGCGTCTATGATTGTCGTAAGAGGCGACTAACGGGATCGGGTGTTCAGGTTCGCTGACTTGGTTGATGGCTGTCATCGATCCCAATTGCGTGGATCGATGCTCATGATATCAATCACTGGATTGTCTGGTCCAGACTCGACTATTAACAGACCGCCGTCATATAGCTGGAATATTGCGGTTGAGTAGGATCGCGTGGCCACTCTGATATGCTTCTGTAACCCTCCCTTCATCCAACCTACTGCTGCCTTGTGCACATAACATCAAACCATTTGTAGTATTGTTGGTATTTTTACTCCGATTCGGAACTTTGAACTGGTCGAACTTTGACCGCTCATCTAACTGAAAGATGCGTAGGTTCTTGAGCCAATCAAAGATCATCTTTCTAAAACGATTCGGTCCCATTTCTGTACCACTTCGAATAGGAAATGTCGATCTTGGTAAAGAAAACCACCACAGAACAAACATGTACCATTTTGGGTTTGGGTATTGATCCCGTGGCGCTTGGAAACGACAGGGTGTACAACTCCAAAACATTTTTTTTTGCATTCGGAACTCATCGATTATATTCACTCTCGAGTTACACAAA